TCCAAAGTTCAACGAATTTTTCGCAGAAAAATAACTTATCAGAAATCGCACCTGCCGTTTGGTGTGCTGCTCCGCGACGAAAACAAGCTTAAGCAATGGCAACGTCGAACAGTGCACACTCGGTAAGTAATCCTACAATTTTTTGTTTATAGCATAGTTTATACGGATTATTTCCAAAAAAAAAATATACGTATTTTGGAAATGTTGAGTCGGATTAGTCTAGAATCGATTAATTTTATGGAAGAAAACCTTTCAAACATCTGTAGTCCGTAAACTTCACACGTGTCGGGCTGTGATTCCTACAAAATCAGATTCATAAAGAACGGAATGTATCTACCGTCTTATAGGGGGATCTACTGTATTTTATTTATTTATTTTGGGATAAATAAGTCAAATTGATTAAGAGATTACTCTCTCTAATGGAATAAAACTTCTGACTTTTCATTTGACTGCACATTAACTTACATGATTTTTCTTTCAATTTGGATCATTAATTTTTCTTTGTTATTGTAACAGATAGAAGCAATATATTTTAATTTTAAATATGGTAGATGTAAAGTTCTGAATAATACATTTTAATGAGGTTCATCTTTATCAAATGAATACAAATAGGATGTTTAAATAAAAATAATCTGTGCTGTGGCCCTGATTTTATATGTTAATACAAAAGGAAACTTATTAGAAAAAAAGAATTATAAGAAGAAAGTGATGTATAAAAATCTCTTAAAGATATATATTAAGAATCTTATTGAGACATAAATTATTGTCAAAATAACTCTCCACTTTTATATGACAAGTTTATAAACATTGAAGGATAGAGAATTGATTATAATCAGAATTGAAATTCTGACAGATTGAAGTAAATGTATTTAGTTTCACTTTTATTGTATGTAAACGAAAATTCTAAAAACTATTTTCTATTATTTTTACATTAAAAAGTTAAAATATTTGTTTTAATAAAAGTAAAGTAAGTAAATTTTTTCTAAAACAAAAAAAAAAAAAATACATTATAATGAATTGTAACAATTATAATAAATTCACATTACAAATGTTAGTGATGACATTAAAATTATAAGGAAATAAAAATTTAAAAATGTAAGTTTCCTGCTTTTGTTTTATTATTTTTTTATATGAATAGTTCTAATAATGCTTAAATATTTTGATATGTTTGTTTGTATATATTGACTTCAAGAATCTTGTTTTTTGTTTATCTTGACTCAATTATTTCATTTTCTCACATCATAATTGCTTTGATATGAGAAATAAGATGAAGTTCATCAGCTTGGATAACTGTTTTTAATATAACTATTCATTGTTTGTTCTCATAAAGTTTTTTTTTTGGATGGAATGGAATAAATAAGAATAAAAATATAATAAACAATAATACAGTGATATAATTAGTTTTATTATAAAACTTTACACTAATTAAGGAATTATTTATTGATTGGAAAATATTTGTTATCTAATTTCAAAATTTATTTTCAGTTTGATTTTAAAACTGTTGCTAAAAATGAGACAGATTCTTTGAAAGATGTAAATAATAAAGGTATGAAAAATTTTTTATTATAAAAGTTCTCAATATATAAAACATTCAAAAAATGTGCTTGCTATTTTCTTTACAGACAAATTTATTATAAGTAATGCATTTAGTTGTAAAAAAAAAGCTTAAAATAATTTTTTTATTAACTTTTCTGGAATGTTTTTAAAGTTATAGTTTTGAATAAAAATTTTTTGTCTCAATAAAATCCTGCTTTGGAGAGATTTATAAAAACATATATTCTATTGGTACAAGAATTTTAGAATCAATAATATATGAAAATACTTAAACAAATGAAATTTTAAATTTATCCTGAATAGACTATGATGATAACAGAATTGTAACTGGGTGATTTTAATGTTTTGCAAAAGGACAGCAATTTTTTTTGCTTTTATTTTAAAGCATTTAATAAGAATGCCCTTTTTGGCACTTTGCTTTTGGATTTGGCATTGACTAGATCCTCTGTGTTGGATAGAGTTTGACAATTGCAATTGGCAATTTTATATTGTCTCCAACTGGCATACTAGCTGGACATCCAGCTGCTTAACTTCAGTGATCTGGTAGGAATAAATGTGTTAGCTATTTCCCAATTAAATATATGTTATCCTATTATTACTTCATGTAATTTTTTTGAGTCAAGTGTTATCGACTAGAGATGGGAAATCCAGTTCCACTGCTGGACCTGATCTGAATGTGAAACTGTTTTGACAGAACTATTAAGCTAGATGGTTCCCTTGGAACAGTTGGAATAGACAGTTCCTCAGAATAATAAGGGTAGACAGTTCTGTTGAAAGTATTAAGCTACATGGTGTTAAGTTAGGCTGTTTCTTGGGACAGTTAGGGTAGATGGTTCTTCAAATGCTCCAATTTCACATAATGTCAGAATTGCTTAGTCTGTTGGTCTAGATGGTCCGTTGTTGGTTTTATGTAGGATATAAAATGTTTCTCTCCCTATTCTTTGTTTTTTGATTGAAATGTTCCAAATTAGTCTTGTTTAATTTGGAATCTGAGGAAAATATAGAATATGAAATCTGGACTCCTTACCCCTACTCTGGTTTCATCTTCCTTATTAACTCCTAAACCCTTTGTTCAATCTGCACCAAATTTTTCATACTTATTCTCTGGGACTCTGAGAAAAATATAGACTTTCATGAAATCCAGACACCCCACTTTTCCCCTGATTTCATCTCCTTGACACTTTGTGATAACATAACAATTGTAAGCTAAAATACCCAAATTTGTAATATGGTTTTTATTTTAATGTTTAGCCTTTTACTGTTTGGATGGGCAATGCTGGACATATCTGCTGGTTATTAATAAAACAAATAATTATGAATGCTAATAAAAATATAAATTTTTTAAACATCTATGTAAATTTAAAATACTAAAATAATTTGATTATTTTAAAAAGCCCATGGAACATTTTCATTACTTCAAGTTCAAATCCGGATAAAGAATTCACCATTCCATGGTTTATGAATATGGTTTTCAGAATGAGAAACGTGTTAGTAGCTCTGACCGGAACTGTCTCGACACTGTGTAGAACTGTTCCTTGTACTTTCAAAGCTGAAACAGTTCTTTTGGAATGGTTTCAACCAGAATTATCCACCTCTATTATCTACTATAATTTTGTTTTGTTATTATCTACTTGCAAAACTGTCATATTATTATTATTTTTAAATTAATTGTTACTTTCGATTCACACCAATATCTGATGTAATTTTTCAATTGTAATCAGTTTTAAATCCCGAATAATAATTTTGTAAATTTTAATTTTTGTTTTTCTGTGATATTATGTACTCTATGCCTATAGTTAAGTTTGAACAGATCTTGTTGATATTATGGAAAGTATCTTGTCTTTTACAAAGAAAAATTCCTTTTTTGTTATTTTAGAAAAGTGATAAATGATAGATGTATTTTGTAAATGTATAGTATATCAGTGGCGTAGCATAGTGGGGGTGGCAGGGGCGGCCCGCCCCGGGCAGCACTTTTAGGGGGCGGCAAAATTTCACAATAAATAATAATATCTTATAAAAATTTGAACCATTTCATTTCATATTTTTGTCGCACCTACGATTCAGACCGATTGAAATGAGCACAGAATATTTCATTACTTATTCTGTGACAAAACTGGATTTTAGTCTTTTAAATTGAGATACCTAAATACCTAATACCTAAATTGAGATACCTGACACCCACGCTACTCCACTGTAGTATATGTAAAGTTATTATTATCTGTGGTATTTAGAGAATTTATAATTTTCAGGTCCTCTGCATTCTTGGGAAAATTTAGCCAGATTTCATGAAAACAAAACAAGAACTGTACCTGAATTTAAAAAGCAACCAGTTGAAATGTTATCTTTTTCTATAAATAAAAACAATTATGAGAATACAGAAATTGATGCTTCTGTTTTAGATACAAAAATACGTTACATTAATGATCATATAACATTGCCAGTTTCTAAAGCTGATACATTGAATAAAAAACATCCAGAATGGATAAAATCTACTGCAAAAGTTCCATCACAGCAAGGTATGATAAATACTTCAGGAATTTATGTATTATATTTAACTAATGTTTACAGTCCTTATTTATTTTTAGTCTTAGAATATTGCTTTAAATTTAAAGCAGTAATATTTTCTTGAGTGTAAAGGTTTTTTTTCTAATAAATAAACAGGTTTTCAAAAAATTAGAGAAGTAGTAGAAAAACAAAAACAACAGTTACAAATAAAATCATTTCAAATGGAAACTAGGATAAAGTCTAATGAAAATATTAAACAGCCATTAGATACAGTATCAAAAGAAAAGGAAGATGAAAGCAAAAATGCTATTCATATATCATCTGATAAAATTCTAAGCACAACTGTTGATCCAGAAAAGTCTCCAAATAGAAAAACAGTTACTGCATCTTTACCTTTATCATACAAAGGCTTTGCTCATTTTGGAGATAAAATTAATAAAGTGAAAGGTATTTATCAAATAATTTTTGTTTTGTAATGGTGCTAACAGTGTGTAAATTCATTTCAATTGAATAATAAATTTTTTTGAAATAAATTTTGCATTAGATTAACATTTTATCAACTTATATTAATTAATTGATTACATAATTCAAAACTNTTTTCATTACTTATTCTGTGACAAAACTGGATTTTAGTCTTTTAAATTGAGATACCTAAATACCTAATACCTAAATTGAGATACCTGACACCCACGCTACTCCACTGTAGTATATGTAAAGTTATTATTATCTGTGGTATTTAGAGAATTTATAATTTTCAGGTCCTCTGCATTCTTGGGAAAATTTAGCCAGATTTCATGAAAACAAAACAAGAACTGTACCTGAATTTAAAAAGCAACCAGTTGAAATGTTATCTTTTTCTATAAATAAAAACAATTATGAGAATACAGAAATTGATGCTTCTGTTTTAGATACAAAAATACGTTACATTAATGATCATATAACATTGCCAGTTTCTAAAGCTGATACATTGAATAAAAAACATCCAGAATGGATAAAATCTACTGCAAAAGTTCCATCACAGCAAGGTATGATAAATACTTCAGGAATTTATGTATTATATTTAACTAATGTTTACAGTCCTTATTTATTTTTAGTCTTAGAATATTGCTTTAAATTTAAAGCAGTAATATTTTCTTGAGTGTAAAGGTTTTTTTTCTAATAAATAAACAGGTTTTCAAAAAATTAGAGAAGTAGTAGAAAAACAAAAACAACAGTTACAAATAAAATCATTTCAAATGGAAACTAGGATAAAGTCTAATGAAAATATTAAACAGCCATTAGATACAGTATCAAAAGAAAAGGAAGATGAAAGCAAAAATGCTATTCATATATCATCTGATAAAATTCTAAGCACAACTGTTGATCCAGAAAAGTCTCCAAATAGAAAAACAGTTACTGCATCTTTACCTTTATCATACAAAGGCTTTGCTCATTTTGGAGATAAAATTAATAAAGTGAAAGGTATTTATCAAATAATTTTTGTTTTGTAATGGTGCTAACAGTGTGTAAATTCATTTCAATTGAATAATAAATTTTTTTGAAATAAATTTTGCATTAGATTAACATTTTATCAACTTATATTAATTAATTGATTACATAATTCAAAACTATTGTAATTTTATTTGTGAATAACAGTATAACATCAGTAATGTTTCATATGCCAAATATCTAAATTGCTATTAGATTGATCTCTCTGTGAGTTATATGCTGAATATTTTCAGCATATAACTCACATATATAACTCACATTGGTTCAATCTGTTCCAATTGAATGATCTGTCCTTCTTCCCTTTTGGATAGAACATGTCCATGCTTCTTTTAAAAGTCACCTTACGACCTTTTGTTTAGCCCAGTTTTCTTAGCTTGAATATGCTGAAATATTTTCAGCATATTCTGTGAGTTATATTTTCAGCATATGCTGAAATATTTTAATTATAAAAAAAATTGATTTATCAACAATTTAATCTTTTCTTAATTAAAATTAATGTATTAAATTAGTATAAAAATTAATATCCTTAAAAGTACAGAGAAAAGACTTGTTTCTTGTTGAAATCATGTAAAGGAATATTTTTTGTCAATGAGTTATTAATAAATTTCATATAAATATATATAATTCTATATGATTGAAGTTGTATGAAGAACTTGAAATTAGCTTATTTCACTCCATGAGTCAACCATCTTATCATTGGGACCAGCATCAAAGTTGGCAGACTCTGCAGCTTCTCCCGCTGGACTGATCCACCTCCAAGCTAAGAAAACTGGGCTAAACAAAAGGTCGTAAGGTGACTTTTAAAAGAAGCATGGACATGTTCTATCCAAAAGGGAAGAAGGACAGATCATTCAATTGGAACAGATTGAACCAATGACCCTTGTGAACTTTACTACTACTAGTATAAAAAGTTTAATGAGTTCTTTGTGAGTTAAGTTCTATACTTACTGAGCAATAAAATTTGTTGCCCACAAAGCTAATTAATGATTTTGAAATCAGCATAATGTTGTTTACCATTTATTTTAAATCTTGCAGTTCTCCAGATATTTAATATCTGTGTTAATGTGATCATATCATGTTAAAAAAGTAATTAAAAAATAGTAATACAGTAGTAAAAGTTTATATTAGTTTTAAAAACTTACAACACACACACACAATATATATACCATGTATATATTGTCATATATATATATGACAAATAGTTTCATTGGTCCATTTGACAAATATATAAATAAAATAATAAATATATATATATATTTATTTGAATGTTATCTATAAATTTTTAAATAAAGAATATTTATTATTATTTGTTATATTTTAAAATATTTGTTGCATTGTTTAATATTTGTATTTTATTGTAAAGCTTTATTTATCAGCTGTCTTTGTCTTTTCAGATGAAATACACCATGCCAAACCAATCAAATCTGCACAAAAACAAAAGATGAAACGAATAAAAAGAATTGTTAATACATCAGATAAAACAGGTAAGAAATAAATACAATCAAATAGTTTTTTTTACTTGATTACTAATTCTTTTTAAATATATGATAATGTTTATCGGTTTACAAATTTACAGATTATATAGACAAACATTAGATAATCTGCTTATGACAAATAGTTTCATTGGTCCATTTGACAATATAATTGAAGGACCTGATTTAAAAAAATCACTAAGCCACATTTTCTTGTCATCAAGATAATTGATGTTAAAGATTTGAAATATCTCCTGAAATAATTTCATTGTAGATTTTAAATCAGCAAAGCAGGGCTGTGGAGTTGCGTAAAAACTACTGACTCCAACTCCGACTTTTCCTTACCATCCGACTCCGACCAGGGGCGGACTTGTTACCGAAAGAGACCCAAAAATTCTGATGTCATCACGTGACCTCAGAATAAAAGATTCAATAAATAGAGTTCTAATAAAGATAGAATGTAGAAACTTTTTATTTCAAAGCTAAAAGACTCCTCTAAGTAATATATAAATATGTATTCGATAATTTTTACTTTTCCGGCTGTTATATATAACAGAGGATATATAACAAAGTGTAGCGCTCGTTCAAAAAAATGACCCCTCCCAAATTTTTACATTTTTGGACTCAGAACACCTTGAAATTTCGAGTTAATTAAGCAAAAGATTCAAGGTTTTTTTCTATTATTTTTATTATGTTGGATGTTAGACTGTGTGGGGGGGCATGATTTTGTTCACCCTGTTTGAAGCCTAATAATTTCTGTGGTCAGAGTGGTCAGAATCGGAGTCAGATGGTTTAACACAGGAGTTAGTTATTAAGCGTCAAAGTGGTTGAACTAAATCGTGTCCCCATATACATTCTAACATCTTAGGCGAGAACATCTTAACGGGTTTTACTGTACTATTATAAAATGGCAAAAAAGCTTACTTTGAGGGTAGAGACGAGTTTTATTTTATTTTTTTAAATTTTGAACGCTAATAACGAGTAAAATATTCATTAAGAGATATGACACATGACCACTTTTATGTCTTCACCCTGTCGACCTTTAATTAAGAACCAAAATTTAATAGTATTAATGCCCCTTTATACGCAAGCTACAGTGCCACATTTCGTTTCTTAAACTTTACCCATTCTGAGATATTGTTTAATATCTCAGAACAGAAAATAAAGAAATTAAACAAATTAGATGCCAACACACACGCGCGCGAATTTTTCCCCTTTACTGACTTTTTTGAGGGGTTCGGGAGGTCTCCAAACGTGTAGATTTGAAAAAAAAAACTTGGAGGGTCAAATTTGACATGATTCCAATACTTTTCCGTTTTATATACATAACAAGTTGGTAAGTAAAAAGGAGTCGGAGTCGGCGGATTTTTTGACGACTCTGACTCTGGCTAAAACACCAAAACTCCACGACTCTGACTCCACAGCCCTGCAGCAAAGATTAAAGTTCCAGCACATATCTTTGTCCTGTATTCTATGCAGTTGAACATTAGTCAGCCTTATATATTTATTTGGATACAAAAAAAATATGGACATAATGATTTTTACTTTGATAGTGCACTGAAATTTACATTTTATTGCTTTAATAAATGAAAATAACAAAGAAAATGTGTTACATGTATATTTTTCACACATATGGATGCTTGTGTTTGCTGTTGATCATTACAAGTACTTCTGTTACTCAGTGTCCAATACACAGGTATCTGTATTCTCATCAGATATTTCATACAATTCAAATTAGGTATATACTGTAACAAATATCTGATATCCTTCAGTTACTTATATATTGTCAATAAGAGTAATAAATTTGAACCTTTTTTTAATGAATAGCTAGCTTAATTTCATGGAGTTGATGATTTTTTAAAAATGAAAAGTATCTTGTATATATGACCACCAACATGAAAGTGTTAATTAAATGTAGGACTTAGTGATTTCTTAACCAGAAAATATTAAGTTAGTACAATGACTGCCCAAAACTATATATATAGGATGGTGTATTTATTGCAGAAATCATGAAAGTGGACTTAGGAATTTTTTAAATTCCTATCTGATAAATTTAAAGTGTTTATTTGACGTTTTATTTATTATTAGTTTAATTCCTTTTCAAAAAAAAATAATAAAATTATAATGAGCAAACAAACTTTTAAATATAAAATTATATGAATATTTATATTCAATTATTAAATTTTAATAAGTTTTTCTTAAAATGTTTGTGATCAGATTTGAAAATAATTGTATAAAATACTTCAAATAATTGATATTTGAAGTATAATTTATCTGATATTAAGTGAAGAATTGATAATGGTTTTTACCATGATCATGTTTTGAATATATTGATTAGATAGATTCATCGTGAGTTATTGAATTGTTATATTTATTTGTTTCTTTGAATTATTTTCTTATACAAAATGTTTTTAAACAATAAAATTTGTTTTGATAATTCAGATTTCAATATTTAGTATGTTTTTTTATTATTATTTTATTTTAAGCAGTAGAAAAAAATAAGTATATTGCACAAAAATTTTAATAATTCAATTATTTCAGCATTTATTACACCTTCTTGCTGGAGAGAAGCACAAGAACTTATAAGAAAAAAATTAGGCCCGTTCTCAACTGAAATATCTGATTCAGAAAGTAAAAAGCTATCCAGTAATAAAACAGAATCATGTAGTAAACAGGAATGTATTATTTCTGGTGAGTTTACAAACACTTACATAGCTTTTAATTTTGATTTATATTTAGTATTTAGAGTTAAAAATAGGCTTATTCATTTGATCAGTTTTTTTAGATTTTTATGTTAAATACAAATTATTTATAATTAAAATTATATATATAGTAATTTACTTTTATGTCATATCATTTGTATTTAAGTCTGTTTTGCAAGTCTGTCATTGTTTTGATGCATATTCATTCTAAATATGCATCAAAACAAACATTTGCTCTTTTAATAACATTCTATATGTTTTCTTGTGGCTTTATTGGAAATCATCTCCTACCACTATCTCATCTATCTATATAAATGAGGATGTTTGTTTGTTTAGATGTATGTTTGTTTGCTATGTACACCTAGGCTATTTGACCAATTGCTATGAAACTTCGCATTTATGCTAATATGCTTCTAACTTAGATAATGTCATAAATTTTACTCCAAAATATTGATTGAATTTCTATATATCAATTAATTTCTGTCTACATTTGATTTGCTGTGTTACATGTAGCACCATCTATTCGAAAAAAATTTAAGAAAATAATAAACTAAATATAGTTCTTAAAATGGATATAATTTTTAAAATATATATTATATTCATTTTATTATAGCTACAATGATATAGTACGAATTAGACATGCTATATCAGACATGGGCAAATGTGAATCTTTTTGAGTTACATGCTACTCTTGCTGAAAGTGTTAATTTTTGCTTTTTTTTATTATTTTTACAATTTTATTTCCACAGTTTTGTGAAAATATGTTTATTAAAAACTTCGATATTTATTTTATATTATATTTATACTAGCAGGTAGGCTTGGCGTTGCTCGGGCAAAAAGTAACGATAGCAAAGATTAAGATTATTACGTTATAGTCAATCTTACCTGTTTTCAAAGAATGCAAGAATTAGGTCCTCCTGTTTCCAGACTAATTAGAGAATTCTTAGATGGGTTAAAAAATGTTTGATTTCTTGCAAAAACAAAAATAAACTGCAAATCTGTAAATCTTGCACATCGCTTTATCTTAACACTTTCATTGTTAACACTTCCCCCCACGGGGAAGTGTCAACAACCTCACCCCACTGGTGGAATTTTGAAAAATCCCTTCTTAGTTTATATTCTCATGACGCACCCTATTAAAACACAATCAAAAACGCAAAAAACTGCATCTGCACCTGTAAATCTTGCATGTCTCTTTCTCTTAACACTGTTGACACTTACCATTGTTGACATTTCCATTGTTGACACTTCCATTGTTGATACTTCCATTGTTACTTAACACTTCCATTGTCGAAGGCTTAATCCTGTCCCTCTCCCCTGGGGAGGAATTTCGAAAAATCCTTTCTTAGTTTGTGTTATCGTGACATACCCTAACTGTGTATTAAATTTCAACTTTCAACTCCTAATCGTTTGGGTTCTGTGCTGAATATTATTATTGTTATTATTATTATGTTGGGTTTAGTGGGTTATATTTATTATTATTATTATCAACCCGTCTCAATTATATATATATATATATATAGATTATATAATAAAATCATGGTACAGAACTGCAGTACAGAATAAAAAAGTACAGAACTGCGGCTCACATGCATTTTGCAAAACCTACATTTCAGCTCCCACTGAATTCTAGCTTGCCCACCCCTGCACTATATCATTACTTTGACAGGTGGCACGTAGCAATTGCTTGCATGGAATCAAAAGTGTTACCCTGTGGAAAGTCTATAAGTATCTAATTTTTCACATCTAATGACATGGGTTTTTTCCATTTCTGAATAGTACTTTCTTAATTCTAATAAGTGTCCTCCAGTAGCCAAGTGCATAAAACCACTGAACACTGATAGTTAGTCATGGTTCAGGCATGATCAATGGGCACATTTTTCCTGGTTTTCTTCATGTTAGGAACACCTAAATAGGGTCCAGCTTTCTGTAAAAGCAGCGCTGTGGAGTTGGTAAAAAAACACTCAACTCCGACTCTGGCAAAATTAAATACCAAGTCATTTTATGGGGGCAGAGGCACTCATAGGGGTGTACCCTACTCTGAACTCTGAAAGTAGCCTGAGACATTTACCCAAATACTTTTATAGTTAGTATTTTTAATGTTTAACTTACATTAATATTTATTTGTATAAAAAATTAATTTTTAACAAATATTTAATAAGAGCAGATTTCAATATTTAGTATGTTTTTTTATTATTATTTTATTTTAAGCAGTAGAAAAAAATAAGTATATTGCACAAAAATTTTAATAATTCAATTATTTCAGCATTTATTACACCTTCTTGCTGGAGAGAAGCACAAGAACTTATAAGAAAAAAATTAGGCCCGTTCTCAACTGAAATATCTGATTCAGAAAGTAAAAAGCTATCCAGTAATAAAACAGAATCATGTAGTAAACAGGAATGTATTATTTCTGGTGAGTTTACAAACACTTACATAGCTTTTAATTTTGATTTATATTTAGTATTTAGAGTTAAAAATAGGCTCATTCATTTGATCAGTTTTTTTAGATTTTTATGTTAAATACAAATTATTTATAATTAAAATTATATATATAGTAATTTACTTTTATGTCATATCATTTGTATTTAAGTCTGTTTTGCAAGTCTGTCATTGTTTTGATGCATATTCATTCTAAATATGCATCAAAACAAACATTTGCTCTTTTAATAACATTCTATATGTTTTCTTGTGGCTTTATTGGAAATCATCTCCTACCACTATCTCATCTATCTATATAAATGAGGATGTTTGTTTGTTTAGATGTATGTTTGTTTGCTATGTACACCTAGGCTATTTGACCAATTGCTATGAAACTTTGCATTTATGCTAATATGCTTCTAACTTAGATAATGTCATAAATTTTACTCCAAAATATTGATTGAATTTCTATATATCAATTAATTTCTGTCTACATTTGATTTGCTGTGTTACATGTAGCACCATCTATTCGAAAAAAATTTAAGAAAATAATAAACTAAATATAGTTCTTAAAATGGATATAATTTTTAAAATATATATTATATTCATTTTATTATAGCTACAATGATATAGTACGAATTAGACATGCTATATCAGACATGGGCAAATGTGAATCTTTTTGAGTTACATGCTACTCTTGCTGAAAGTGTTAATTTTTGCGTTTTTTTATTATTTTTACAATTTTATTTCCACAGTTTTGTGAAAATATGTTTATTAAAAACTTCGATATTTATTTTATATTATATTTATACTAGCAGGTAGGCTTGGCGTTGCTCGGGCAAAAAGTAACGATAGCAAAGATTAAGATTATTACGTTATAGTCAATCTTACCTGTTTTCAAAGAATGCAAGAATTAGGTCCTCCTGTTTCCAGACTAATTAGAGAATTCTTAGATGGGTTAAAAAATGTTTGATTTCTTGCAAAAACAAAAATAAACTGCAAATCTGTAAATCTTGCACATCGCTTTATCTTAACACTTTCATTGTTAACACTTCCCCCCACGGGGAAGTGTCAACAACCTCACCCCACTGGTGGAATTTTGAAAAATCCCTTCTTAGTTTATATTCTCATGACGCACCCTATTAAAACACAATCAAAAACGCAAAAAACTGCATCTGCACCTGTAAATCTTGCATGTCTCTTTCTCTTAACACTGTTGACACTTACCATTGTTGACATTTCCATTGTTGACNCAAATTATTTATAATTAAAATTATATATATAGTAATTTACTTTTATGTCATATCATTTGTATTTAAGTCTGTTTTGCAAGTCTGTCATTGTTTTGATGCATATTCATTCTAAATATGCATCAAAACAAACATTTGCTCTTTTAATAACATTCTATATGTTTTCTTGTGGCTTTATTGGAAATCATCTCCTACCACTATCTCATCTATCTATATAAATGAGGATGTTTGTTTGTTTAGATGTATGTTTGTTTGCTATGTACACCTAGGCTATTTGACCAATTGCTATGAAACTTCGCATTTATGCTAATATGCTTCTAACTTAGATAATGTCATAAATTTTACTCCAAAATATTGATTGAATTTCTATATATCAATTAATTTCTGTCTACATTTGATTTGCTGTGTTACATGTAGCACCATCTATTCGAAAAAAATTTAAGAAAATAATAAACTAAATATAGTTCTTAAAATGGATATAATTTTTAAAATATATATTATATTCATTTTATTATAGCTACAATGATATAGTACGAATTAGACATGCTATATCAGACATGGGCAAATGTGAATCTTTTTGAGTTACATGCTACTCTTGCTGAAAGTGTTAATTTTTGCGTTTTTTTATTATTTTTACAATTTTATTTCCACAGTTTTGTGAAAATATGTTTATTAAAAACTTCGATATTTATTTTATATTATATTTATACTAGCAGGTAGGCTTGGCGTTGCTCGGGCAAAAAGTAACGATAGCAAAGATTAAGATTATTACGTTATAGTCAATCTTACCTGTTTTCAAAGAATGCAAGAATTAGGTCCTCCTGTTTCCAGACTAATTAGAGAATTCTTAGATGGGTTAAAAAATGTTTGATTTCTTGCAAAAACAAAAATAAACTGCAAATCTGTAAATCTTGCACATCGCTTTATCTTAACACTTTCATTGTTAACACTTCCCCCCACGGGGAAGTGTCAACAACCTCACCCCACTGGTGGAATTTTGAAAAATCCCTTCTTAGTTTATATTCTCATGACGCACCCTATTAAAACACAATCAAAAACGCAAAAAACTGCATCTGCACCTGTAAATCTTGCATGTCTCTTTCTCTTAACACTGTTGACACTTACCATTGTTGACACTTCCATTGTTGACACTTCCATTGTTGATACTTCCATTGTTACTTAACACTTCCATTGTTGACAGTTCCATTCTTAACACTTCCATTGTTGATACTTCCATTGTTACTTAACACTTCCATTGTCGAAGGCTTAATCCTGTCCCTCTCCCCTGGGGAGGAATTTCGAAAAATCCTTTCTTAGTTTGTGTTATCGTGACATACCCTAACTGTGTATTAAATTTCAACTTTCAACTCCTAATCGTTTGGGTTCTGTGCTGAATATTATTATTGTTATTATTATTATGTTGGGTTTAGTGGGTTATATTTATTATTATTATCTGTTTTTGCAAGTCTATTTAGTATCAAACGAAAGAAGAGGTTTTAGCCAGAATCAAATCGCACCATTCCATTGTTNGCCAGAAATTCCTCCCAACTCAGACTTCACAGCCCTGCATAAAAGTCTTCCTGGGATGCATCCCCCTTGGCAGATATCTTCAGATCTTTATCCTTTATTTTGTAGAAGCAGATATATTACAATATTGTACATTATAAAGAAGTACTGTATGTGCATATGACAAAGCTGACAGAAACTGTATATACTGTCATCAGTATCATGTTTTCATGGATTTTCTGGCATGTCAGTCTATCCAGGAGAGACCATGAAATCAGATGTTTCCATATGGTAAAAACTGGCATGCCTGTTTACATTAGGCTATACTTCCCTCTCTTGAGGGCACATGAAAAATGAATGAATTACATTATGTAAAAATGAGCAAGTTTTATTCTAAAACTGTGAAACTCAACATTGCATCAAAAATGATGTGACTCTAAGGTACGATAACTCTCAGCTGCCACAGGTCTTTGCTGTAGACGTGCATGTCTGGAAGCACAAGCTGAAAGTAGCTTCCTACAACTAATGAATCCATTATAGGAAGGCACTGATGCATGGCATTATCATTATGCATTAGCAATATGAACCATGATAATTATGCATGTATTTTGTTCCAAGTGCAATGTATTTTTTCTTTTAAGTTCAGTAGTCTAGCCAGAAAAATTCAAAAATTAATTAAATGTTGAAAAAAACCAATGTTAACAGTAGATGGAGTTAGAATAAAAATCCATTATTTTAAGTTGTGGATCTGCTAAAAGGAGGTAAAATTATTTTGTTTTGGCAGGACACAAGAAAAAATCCATTGTTCTGAGAAATCCATTCTGCAATCCATTAAAATGAGATTCTACTGTACTAATTTTCATTCTGATATTCAGACAGGGCACCTAAAATATATTAAATGCATCATGAAATGTTGCTTCACTGTTATGTATTAAATGGGATCATCTGCTTACAATAGACCATTGACTTTAGCATCTCCAATTTTATACTGTTGATCATCTGACTTTTCTATTATTTTATTCATGTATATTATGAAAGAGAAAGGAAGCTTACAACCCTGTCTAATACTTTCTTTAGCTGATAGCTATTCAATAAAATTTCCTCTTTATCAATTTCTTCTTTTATAAAAATTTATTATTGCTTCCATAAGATTTTAAGTAATTCTATAGTCTTTTAAAGCTTTGAATATTCTCTCCATGAGAATCATACTTTTTCCATATCTACAACTTCAGATACAGATCTTAATTGTATTCAAAAAATTTTTCATCTGTATGTCATAAAATTAAAACTTGATTTTATATTCTATTAATGGATGATTCTGTTTAAATATTATTTTATGTTTATGTTAATATAAAATGTTACTACTAATAATTGTAGCAATGTTTTGCTAAAATTGTTTAAATTGGACATTCTTAAAGGATAAACAATTCAAAATGTAAGAAAATATTAAACACTTTATAGATTATTCTATGATTCTATTTCTAAGATAGTCAGATTTTTAAATATTTAGTTAAATAATTATCAGAACGAAGTGTTCACCCTGGAAGCACTGATTATCCTATATATAAAAAGATAAATAAGGTGAGTTATGATAACCATATAGGAACCTCCTTTCTGAGTGCACGTAGAAAGGTTTATTCTAGAATGGTGAAAACAAGAACCTCAATCTTGTTTCCACTATTGTAATGTATGTATGAATATAATGTGCACAACTTGTAAAGAAAGATCAACATTCACTTGTTGACCTTATTTGATATTCCTAAGCATTAACTAATGTAATTTGGATATATAAGATTGAAAATCAAATTAAACACATTTTTATCTTACAGATTCTGATGATGATTTACCTGATATCATTGAAAAAACAGATGAAAAAATGGACGAACAAAATCTAGATATTGACAAACAAACAAATAAAGAACAAAGTAAGATAAGTCATTCATTTTACATCAGAAATTATATTGTTATTAAATTTACATATAGTTGCTTTCTGTTATGTCCAAAATACTATGAATACTGTAATATTTTGTAACATTTGAACTTCAGGTACTTCTAAATCAGTAAACAACAAAACCAATATAGATTTTACTAAATAATAGGCATTTGTATAAAAAATTTTGAAAATTGCTTTATATGTACAGAAGCTTGGATTAAATGATTTTTTTAAATTCTAGATTGTTTGATAAAATATATATATTTAATTTTTAATTGAAGTATGCTAAGCTATGACACATATATTAAGAAAACCAAATTTGAGTTTCTGTTAAGTTGAACTATCAATAAAAATGAGAAAGTACTGAATTCCACTGATACAATCTGATATCAATAATTTTCCAACCATTCCAACCTGATACTTGCTTCTATCCTTATGTTACAGGTTTTGGTAATAAATAAAAGTCTGAAAACTCATTGGTTTAGATTGGCATAGGCAGTCTATTTCTATTTATTTCACTTTGGATTATTAAAAACTATAATTAAGCCATTAAACAGTTACATCAATTACATCATTTGCATGTTCTGGTTTAAAAGCATGAGTATTTTTAGTTTTCTCCACCTAAGTGAGTGTATTTGTTCGTGCAAATGTTTCTTGCAAAACTAAATAACTGCTTTGATAGAAAATTGGATGGGATGCAGACAGGTACTTTCTTGTCTGTGTTCTAATTCAGTTATCTTTTCATGACTTCCACAAATGGAATATTTCCCCATCTGAAACAGTAAATGTGAGGCAGGTTTCCTCAGACATTACCATTTCATTAACAACAATGAAATTAGTTATGTGGCCAGTAATTCTGTCTTTTTTTTATTCAATTACAGAAAGTAATGGTCTTCCTTCCAAAGCATTCCCAGGGTCTAGTTCAGGTGCATCACTAGTATTAGGCAAATCTGGTCAGTGGTTTAGTTGCAAGTATCTGAGAGATGATTTGTTGCTTCAGTTGCAATGTTAGTGCTGAATATGGACATCTTAAACTTTAGATCTAAGGTTGTAGCAGGAGAATAGAAGCCATCAGTTTCAGCATTCTGAAAACGGGTATTTAAATTGTCTAGAAAGTCTCTTTTCAGAGAGTGCATTCCTGTATTCATTTTGTGCAGAGGGTTTTGTGGAGCTCTTCAAGCCTTGGAGCAGGGACGTCCATATATTGTGACACATGCCCCTTTGTTGTCAGATTGCTCTTTTCTTAATCCCCAAGGAAGCTTTTACGGTTTCATTTTATTTTTAAATTAGTTTTTTATCACAGAATTCTTTTTTACTGATAACAAAATTAAAATTAAAATATTTATTATTAACCAAAAATTTGTGCTAGTTGGTTGTGATTGTTCAGTTGAGTACCAAGGTACCACTGTATTTGATTAACACAATTTTGATAAATGCAATAGCATCGAGAGATTAATTAACTGCGTTAATCAAGGGATACTTGTGAGTATATCCTGTATGTATAGTATAGTATGTATATATACAGGTATTTTCTTACATAACATATGTACAATGCCCTTTTTTTATAGTTTGTGCCCCTCTTCTTTATAGTCTGCAGGTGCCACTTCCTTGGAGTGGAAATAGAATCTCTGATAAACATGAACCTCTTTGAGATCTGCTTGGTTGCTTCATCAAAATTAATCAGTCAGCTCATTAGGAGGATGTGTTTCTGCAGCAGCTGCTGTCAAAGCCATTTTTTGTTCAATTGACTGTAGGAACATACACAATGAAGAGTTCAACCATGTATAGAGATTGTCTTGAATTAGGATATGTTTAGCCAAGTCTAGCTGCTGGTATATTTTCTCCAGGATGTTGCTTGCCTTTATGCTATGCTTGTAATGTCTGATGAGGTGATGACACATATAGATCTGCAACATTCTTTTGGGAAATACAAGCCTCCTTGGCTACCCACTACATACTGATGCAACATGCTTGAACATGTTTACCAGTTAGGAAAACATAGCATTTATCAGGACTAGCTTCCCAATTGAACAGCAATGTTTTGAATTTTTCTGCAAGGTTTTTCACTGTGTATGACTAACATGTCTTTTATTACAGGTTTGTCAATATTTTATCTTGTTAAGGTGTTTAAGTGAAATGTTGATGTAAACTGATCATCAAACGAGTCAAAAATTTATCATTGAAAGAATATAATTGTGTTGCATGTAAAAATTAGTACATAATTATATAGATATTATATTAAATTTGGAACATTCATATCTCTAAACACTAGTTATAAAATGATGTATGTCCATCATATTCTCCAATTAGTTACTTGGTTCAGTCAAAAATGAGACAAATATGTTTATTGAACATAAAATTTTTCAAAATAATCTCCAGAATTATTTAAACTCATATCCCAATAATTCATTAAACTTTTTATGGCTTGGTTGAAGAAGTCCTGTGACTCGTCTTTGTCACAGGTCAGGCATTCAAAGACTTGAATGCCTAACCTTTTGAGGTTGTTTTTATTTTTCCAAACACATAAAAGCTGCATAATGACAAATCTGAACCATATGGAAGATGCTGAAGAACCTTCCACTGCATTCTCTTCATTATATCCATTGTTATAATACCCACATGATGGTATGCATTGTCCTGAAACAAAATGATGCCTTGACTAAGTATCCCTCTTATTTTTATGGCATGTCTCAAATTTCTCAGGATCTCAGAATAGCATCTGCTGTCATCCTTTCATCTCATTTCCATAAAGTGTATCAGAAGAGCTCCTTGATAGTCAAAGCACATCAGCATACACTTTAAACTGGAACTGGCAATATATTTGGGTTTCTGTTTATATGGTGACTAGGGATTGATTACTGCTTCACCACTTGTTGGTAATGTCTGCACATTGCCTTGTCAATTGCAACAGCTACAATTCAAAAAGTTCTCTGCTTGACAGTAACATGTTAGATGTTTTAAACCATTTCACAATGTTTTTGGGCATCTGTTAATATCTTGGGGATTCATTTAGAATACACCTTCCTGTATCCAAATTTGTTATGAAATATGGCATATACAGACTCATGGCTGATACCCAGATTGTCTGTCACTTTATCTGCAGTTATTATTGAACAATACTCTCAAATGATGGCAATGACTTGCATAACAATGTCATTGGTATTGAAGCTATGAGGCCTGTCTGGATGGGGCACATCAGTCATGGAAACACTCTTGCACATGACATGAAATTTAGTCCATACACATGTTGCCTGTGACAAATTTTGATATTGTGATAGTCTTTTACAGCAGAAAATAACTGTTTGCAAATTTGCTATTTAGTGAATTTTTCTTTGTTTAAAATATGCTGTCTAAGAAAATTTTTTAAAATTGATATTGTTTTCAATTATAATTTATTTATTCTCTTTTGCAGACAATTGTGATGATGATAAAGTTATTTCTGAAGATGTTAATTGGAAAGAAGGAGAAATGAATGAGCGAAAACAGTTCTCATTAAAACAGATAACCAGAAGGAAAAGAAAAACAAAGCAAAAAGGTAGAATATTTTTATAAAAAGTTAAGATATACTTTGATCACATTAGAAGTTAAATATTCCAAGCATGCTCAAAATTTCTTTTAAGTGATTTATTGGGCTGCAATTTGAAAAATAAATTTCTTCTGTTATCTGTCCATCTTTCCTTAATCTCAAGAATGGAGTTAGGTAGATGAAAGTGAGACCAGATAAGGACACCAGATAAAGCCCCAATTAACTATATGCAAACTTCTGATACAAACCAAAAGTTGTGTTATTTCAATTCAAAATTTCCCCTGAAAGGAGTTAGACTGGCACCACTCGACTGCTAAATGAAAAGTATGATGTACAGGGGCAAGACACTGCTAATCTGAAGGTGGAGAGCATATATTTTAAATTAAATAAATTAAAAAATATGATTAAAAATTGCAGCTTGGCATTATGATGATGTTACAATAAAAGAATTGCTCATTAAACTTCAATATTTTTATTAAACATAATAAAAGATAAGCTTAATTTCACTCAAGAAAAACTAAGACAGTATTTGTAAATTAGATTTAAGCCAGTCACTAGATAATTTTTAAAGAAAACTTTTACAAAGAATAATTAAAGAGAATAATTAAATTTATATTAAAAAAATTGATTTAATTTTTTGGTTTAAATTTTTTCTATCAGTTATTGCTATTTTGGGATTTGATTCACATTATATTATGTAAATAATATTAATGTGTATTAACTTTAAGTCAATCAAGTGGAATGCAGAAAGAAAAATAAAAATTTTCAATTTTTATCTGTGATATTTATTAGGTCTAAAAAAAATTCTTACTGTTTATTACAAATTAGATTTTCTTTTGAAGTAATTTCATTAATATTGTAAATTAAATTAAATTTACATTTTAATAATCAAATAATTCCATTATTGTCTATCTTAAATGAACATTTTTTATTCTTTAGGGAAACATTTACTTTGTAGTTTTATGAATTACAGATGTAAATTTAGCTAGTAGTCATTTAATTTTACTCAAGCCTGAAGTCATATATAGCTTTACACTAAGGCAAAGTTTTTCAATCTTTTTCTAATATTGGCATTCCAACTTGGTAATTTATTTATTTTTTTTTTTTTTTGCAATACCCCTACTTTATCAGTGTAGAGATACTGTGTCTTGCAAACTTTTCGTTGTATACAAAAGAAGTGTTATGATACTGCTCAGAGCTATATTAAGGCTGTTATACACGTTATGGAAATCCTCAAAGGATGTACTTAACAGACAAAAAAAAATCGGATATAACTGGCTGGATCAAACATAGTAATTTACAAAACTTATTAAAATATTTCCCAACGTATAAAGAATTATTTTTATTTAAAGGTGGATAGATAGAAAAAAAAATCACAGTTAATCCTCAAAGGATTTCCGTAATGTGTATAACAGCCTTTACATGGCACTCCTGAAGTGTCATTGTGGCACCTTAGTGTGCTGCATATTTTGCTCAAAAACTGCTGCACTAAGGTGACTATATGTCAGAAAGATTTCAAATAAATATATTGTATTGCATAAATAATAGAAGGAATAATGATGCAAAAGATTAAATACTTTTATATACATAAATTAAAATTAATTTAATAGTTTTATTTTAATTATAATATAGTACATTCATCAACTTTTACAAAAATGTTGTTATTAATGAATGAAAACAATTTAAAATTATATTTGTATGCTTATCAATATTCACTGACAATTATTATTCATATTTATTTCAACTTTTATTAATTATTTATCATTAAATACAAAATAAATTTCAGGTGAATGTAATTATTCATTAAATAACTTTCTAGTATGTAGAAATTAAATAATTGTTTGAAAAGTTACTTTAAAAAATTACATGGAGGATTAATAAGTGCATATAAATTAAATAAAATGCAAATTTAAAAATTAAGTAGAAAGAATTTTATAAATAATGGCATTTTATAGTAATCACACAAATATTTATATGGCTTTTATTAATATATATTAAGAGAAACTTAAATAATTCTATTCCCTTTATTAGAAAACTGTTGAAAAACAAATTTGTGAAACTCAACAAAAAAAACATTAGTGAACTGCAAAACTTTTGAATCTAAAAATTAGAAATTCTTGCATTTTTGAGAAATTTCTATTTATTTTAGAAAATGTTATGTTTTTTTTACAAGGAAATGACTTTTGGTTCAATCAGTTTCTCATTAGCTAGTCATTATATAACTACTATTTGTTAAGAGCATTGAGTCCAGTAAGAGTTTAGTTAGTTATCATTATTATATAAATATAATATAGTTTATATATAAAATTGGAAATATATATTATTAAAAATTTATTTATTTTATATTTCAAGAAGAAAAGAATATTTCAACATCTAAAGTTCGTCACTATGATCCACATGTTATTCGCCACTACATAGCTAAGCAAAAATTAGAACGACAAAAGAAGAGAAAAGAAGAGAAGCAAAAACAATTGTTAGAAAAACAAAATAAAGAGCAACGTTTACAAGACTTATATGCTTTTCAAAAACAAGTTTTTTCTAATTATTCATTAGCAACAAGAGTAAGTCAAATACAGGTAACCCCCGTATAACACGGCACTTCTATAGCACGGATTCACTCTGACACGGTTCGAGAATTGGGTAAAACCCTAGTACAACATGAAATGTAATAAATTTTTACATACTTAAGTAATAATAGTTCACGAAAATTATTATTTTCGTGAACTATTAGTACTTAAGTATGTAAATTTTCTCTTCTCGCCTTCTGTCGATACACGTGGTCCTTCTCGAAACTTGTTTCAATGTTGCCAGATCGCGACGCTTCTGCTTCTGATGTTGCCGAATGTTTTTCCCTTATTCCATACTTGCTTTATTCTTCATAAGTGCTTAGCACCATATAAGGAAATTTATAAAGACCTTTTAACTAGAAGCAAGCAATCTAAAATTACATACATTTTGCAAAAGGTAAAGCATGGATCTGAAGATAATGCAGAAAAATGCTCAGAGGATAAGGATAACTTGCCAAAAAGAAAACGCTCTCGGTTAATTAATAGTGTTTTTAGTGATGACGAAGAAAACATTGTTTAATTTATATTAATATGTATCACTTAAAAAAATTTTAATGAAGATATTTATCTTAATTATGAAAATATACTAGCACGTTTTTTAATTTTTGGAACCTAACCCTCCTTTTCATATTAGTTCTTTGTTTCGTATAACACGGATTCGCATAACACAGCAATTTTTTGGAACGTAACTACCGTGTTATATGGGAGTTACCTGTATACATAAATCTGAACTGATTAAAATAGTTTAATTATAATTGTTTATTGTATGGTTATACAAATCAATTATATAACCATATAATTGATTTTTATATTAAATAATAATATAAATCAACTTTTGAACAAGTTTTACTGCAGTTTTTATTTATTTATTATGCATACTGGATACAATCCTTGATGCGGGGAGAAATACCTTCGCCCAAAAACAAAACAGTTAAATACAGAGGTTATAAAAACACAGACAAAAATATACAATAATAAATTATAAGTAATAACTGAAATTATAAGTTAAGATTCAAAATTAAAATGTAATATTTAAAGTTTAACACTTGGAAGCATCTACTGCAGTTTTTAAACAATAATTGTTTTTATTATGATGAAAATAAAGTATATTAATTAATTAATTGTAACAGTATATATTTGAGTAACATTGAAGAATCCTAATTGGAAATTATTCAAGCATTAAAATATTAAGATACATTAAATGGAAATTTATTATAATATTAGATGGTTTAGTAATATTCTAATGTAATTAGATAAATATAATTACAAAACAAAATATATGAACCTGTTTTATAATCATATATTGTATGTTGATATTTAAAAAATTCTAGTTTTTAGTTAAAATATCAATAAGAATATCAAAATATCAATTGAGGTTATCTTGTAGTTTTAATATTGCTTATATAATGGATTGTTATTGATTTATTTGAATGTCCATATTAAAAGTACATTTTTTAAAGAAAACTGATATACATTTGCATATTGATGATATATTTGGTTCATTTATTGTATCTATGTTTGGTTCATTCAAATGAAACATAGATCAATGGAAGTATGTGAATTATTGTACTGTACATGTAAGGATTTATAGATACAGTACATTGAAGACTGAACAACTTGCTCACTTGTTCAGAGATACATCCATCCACCTGCACACGACTCCCTCAATATTATCATTCTTGCTACTACAGTCATACTGTTTCATTTGATGGAACCAAATATTTCAATAAAATTATTGTTATTTTATTAAAAATTTTAAAGTTATTGTCAGCTTAAAGGTTTAAAAATATTTACTTTAATTTAAAGTTTTTAATTAAAAATTACAAATGTAATTAAATACTAAATAATTATAATGTATATATTTTTAGGGAACAACAAGTATTGCCAACAATAAAAGTAAACAATTTACAGAACATATCTATTTAGATTTGATGCTCTCTGAAGATAAATCAGTTTCAACTGTGTCATCACAACTAGTGAATTTAAATTCAAAAAAATCAAAATTCAAGCAACTTGAAGAGAAACAGTTTGATGTCAATACTACAAAAAATACTCAAACTGAAATTCCAAATAATAATTTAGAAAGTCTAGCTAAAAATGTATTATCAACAGATAAATTATCATCACTTGAAAGTAGTATCAATACAGATGAAGATATAGGAAACAATTATGTTCAAATAACTCATATAAATTGTGATATTAACAAAAAAATTCCACCATCCGATAAAAGTGCTGAAGATAAAATAGGTATAAAAGTTTTAATTTCTATTTTTTTTTGTTTACTTGAAAAAATTATTATTATTTAAGTAAATATTAATGGATATATTTTTTTGCATTTATATACATGAATATAAACAAGATATTTTGAATAGTTTAATGTATTTTCTGCTGTTAACATAGATGAACACAACAATAAACTAGGTATTTTCTAGAAAAACAAAATTGAGCTTTGTGATATAGAAAACTAACCTGTGAGAAGAGAAAAGAATTTAAAACTGATCTAAATCTAAAATAAAAATTTATTGCAGAGATCAATGTAAATTGACAGCAATTGGATTTTTGCAACCTGCTTAAAACCAGAATCGGCCCATAGACCTTACATGGTGAACTTTGACTTTGAATATCTTAGCCCATAGATTGAATTTCAGAGTTCTGTCTTTGTCACATCAACTTTACTGGTGACAAAAAATATTTGCAAAAATGCATGTTTAATAGTTATATGGTTGTTTAAATTTTGACCACAGATAAAACACTTTCTGACTTATGCACAGCTCTTACATTCTGCTCAATCAAATCTATTAATACAGCAGACTTGTGATCATCTGGCTGAAGATTATGTAGCCCAATCAGCCATGTCATAAAGTTTTTATGACATGGCGCATTATATTACCACAACATGGCGCATTATATTACCACGATGCATTTTTTTTTTTTTTTTGCTTATTTTTGTGATTATAGATGTGACTGGCTTATTTTTTGCTGAAAATTTTGTGTTGAAACATTATAACATATACTGTAAAAATAATAGCTGAAATATAAAGCTATTATTATAATTAAGAAAATTAATTATAATTGCATAGCTTTTGAAAACTATATATGTAGAAGACAAATAATTTCATAACCAATATATAGTTTTCAGATTTATTTTTATGCAGTCAATACATTAAATTGAATATAACCTTAATATAAAAAAGTATGTGTAAGTATCTATTTAAATCAAAATTTGTATGCAATGAGTGATCATTATATTAAGGTCATTAAATGTAATTAAGAAACTGCTTAGATTTTCAAGACAGACAGGTTTAATTGTGATTTCTGATGGTATATAAATATGAATTCTTGAATAGGTATGTATTATATATCATTCATGAAAACAAATACATAATTTTTTTTCATTTTAATTACTAAATGCAATACTAGAAAATTTTGTTAATAAATTAAATAATAAATAGTTGTAGTTTTNCTATTTTTTTTTTGTTTACTTGAAAAAATTATTATTATTTAAGTAAATATTAATGGATATATTTTTTTGCATTTATATACATGAATATAAACAAGATATTTTGAATAGTTTAATGTATTTTCTGCTGTTAACATAGATGAACACAACAATAAACTAGGTATTTTCTAGAAAAACAAAATTGAGCTTTGTGATATAGAAAACTAACCTGTGAGAAGAGAAAAGAATTTAAAACTGATCTAAATCTAAAATAAAAATTTATTGCAGAGATCAATGTAAATTGACAGCAATTGGATTTTTGCAACCTGCTTAAAACCAGAATCGGCCCATAGACCTTACATGGTGAACTTTGACTTTGAATATCTTAGCCCATAGATTGAATTTCAGAGTTCTGTCTTTGTCACATCAACTTTACTGGTGACAAAAAATATTTGCAAAAATGCATGTTTAATAGTTATATGGTTGTTTAAATTTTGACCACAGATAAAACACTTTCTGACTTATGCACAGCTCTTACATTCTGCTCAATCAAATCTATTAATACAGCAGACTTGTGATCATCTGGCTGAAGATTATGTAGCCCAATCAGCCATGTCATAAAGTTTTTATGACATGGCGCATTATATTACCACAACATGGCGCATTATATTACCACGATGCTTTTTTTTTTTTTTTTTGCTTATTTTTGTGATTATAGATGTGACTGGCTTATTTTTTGCTGAAAATTTTGTGTTGAAACATTATAACATATACTGTAAAAATAATAGCTGAAATATAAAGCTATTATTATAATTAAGAAAATTAATTATAATTGCATAGCTTTTGAAAACTATATATGTAGAAGACAAATAATTTCATAACCAATATATAGTTTTCAGATTTATTTTTATGCAGTCAATACATTAAATTGAATATAACCTTAATATAAAAAAGTATGTGTAAGTATCTATTTAAATCAAAATTTGTATGCAATGAGTGATCATTATATTAAGGTCATTAAATGTAATTAAGAAACTGCTTAGATTTTCAAGACAGACAGGTTTAATTGTGATTTCTGATGGTATATAAATATGAATTCTTGAATAGGTATGTATTATATATCATTCATGAAAACAAATACATAATTTTTTTTCATTTTAATTACTAAATGCAATACTAGAAAATTTTGTTAATAAATTAAATAATAAATAGTTGTAGTTTTGAATATTAATTTTTTAATTTTAAATTGAAGTTTAATTATTTGCAGATGTTACAAGAAACGATTACATTCAAGAAACCAAAATAAATTCTAATACCAATGAAGGAATTATTTCATCAGAAAAAAGTATTCAAGATAACATAGGTATAAAAGTTTAAATGTATTTATATTTTAAACATATATCTTTAAATACTTTGAATAAAAAGTTAATTTATATTAAGTATAGAAAAATTTTTTTACTAAGTATAAATTTCTAGAACTACTGACATTTGCTTATTAATACTGTAAATGAATTTAGAAAAATATTTCATTGGTTTCCCACCAAATTAATGCTTTGTATGGCATGATTTATCATAAATTCAAATAAACTTGTAATTACATAATTAGAACACTGTATTATACTGTATTATTGAATATATTGTCATGTAAACAGTCTATGAATTCAGATATGTAGACTTGTAAAATTCTTTATTGGGTTACAGTTTCTTATATCTTATTGAATACAATTTGGAACTTTGTTCCTTCTTCTGAACAATTATAATTTAATATAAAAGCATTACAGTAAGTATATTTATAAACTTGCATACTTCAAGTTCACTCTTGAGTTTTATAAATTGTGAACAATAATTAATAATACAATTTCAAATAAACATTGTACAGTCCTTTCCAATAAATTAAGATTTATTATTTTATAAGTAACCGAATATGTGCTAAATTAAAATTTTTTTGCATTCAAAAATTATGTTAAAATATTATCTATGTTTTACTGTTCATTAGTGTAAATAATTTTGTTTTTCTTTCTTTCTTTCTTTCTAAATTGATAATTATTGTGTATGAAGTTGGAAAATAAGGATCTCTAAAGGCAGTGTTACATATAAAAATAAAAAATGAAGTTGAAGTTTAGTTTTCATAAAAGAATGAAATATTATGCAAAAGATCCTGCGTGTAAATGGTGCAGTCAAAAGGTTTTAAATCAAAGATTTAAATGGATCAGTTATTAAAATGTTATGAATGTCCAAATAACAAAAAAAAATTGGAAGAAGAAAGTTAAGAATTGCTTTCAGAAGCCCATCAAAATTAATGCTAGCTATTACAAGTGGTTGTTAAGAGATTGATGGCAACTCTTGAGTGACAAAAATGATGATTTTGATGAGCTAGAAAGAGAATGAAACTCTAGTAGAGAACCATAATTTTGAAATTGCCTCAAATATGCTGGATGATGCAGCATGTATGCAAATTATGCAAATATTGATGGAAAAAATAATGATAATAATTGACACATAGCAATCTATTAGACAAGAGGAACTATAATAGAAACACAAACAGTCCCTGATCTTACAAATTTGCTGCCAGAATTTTCAAGAACATCATTAGTGTTGAAAAATGGTTGGACTAAAACTATTGGACATAAGATTACCAATTGGACTATGCAGAAAGAAAATCTGAAACAAGAATTTGATTTAAAATATTTACTTTGCAACTATGGAGTAAAAGACTGGAAGAATAGGAACAATTACCTGAAGAAACACTTATGAACTATATCTATGCAAAATTATGACTTTTAAAAATTAATTGCCCAGTTAGTATAATGGAAGCTGACAAAATTGAATACATGTTAGATGGTATTAGGAATAAACAATATTCATTGAATATCACTATGTATGATATTTATATTATTGCTGAGTTGCAACAAATAGCTCAAAGAATTAATGAATGAGAAACAGAAATAAAAGGCTAAAGAATAATTCAAACTTTAAATACCTAAAATGGAATTCTCAGATGTAAATGGAAGCAATGTAATGTTTCAAATGTCAACTCCTAGATTGCTTGGCACATTTATGTCCTAATACTCAGCTTAGAAGAATCAGAGAACAATATGAACCTGTTAAAAAGCAAACAGAACCAACAGAAAGCAAAGATAGAAATAGGAAATATTTAAACTTACAAACTTACTGATTTAGAAACACTTAAGCATAAACCTCAAAATCTGTATATTGATGAGATGTGCTGATGATGGGTATGTTAAGGGCAACTATTGATTCAGTCTGAAATAAGACAGTTATGGCTCCCAAAACCAATTGCCATCAAGTGTGAAAATTCTCAAAGCTGATGGAGACATTGAATTTACAAGTATGGTGAAGCCATGTAGATATGTTGAACTTATTCAATGAAATAATGATTATTCATTTGTTAAGGCAGCTATACTTGAGGATAATTCTATTCTGTTGACCTTGGAATGGACTGAATTAGTGAAACTGGTATAAAGCGTATAATCAAAGGTGATGGCTATGAGATATATTCAAGGAATGGGAAATGTATACCATTGCAATAACTAATAGAAGAAATTTCTCTAAGAGTCATGCTTATTACTTCCAGTCACTAAGGGAACTAAGATCAAAAATTATTCTAATGTCACAGCTATCAGTAATGCTTACAATCATCAGATGTTGGAGGAAATTGAAGAAATGCTATGTCAAGTTTGACATACAGGGTGTATCAGTACAGCGATTACAAACTTTCAAGAGAGATAGAGTACACCTAGACTATGGGAAATCACATAGCAATGCATGGTCGGAAACACTTTCCTGGTGCAGTAGTGATGACACAAAACGCAAGAAAAGAAGAACAGGGTGAGAAAACATGTTTATTATTCTTAGTACAGCAAAAATCAAAGATAAAAAATCTGATGCTTCGGTTTACTTAGCGACATCTGTCGTGTACACCAGCCAAAGATATCCCAGCATTTTTGCTGTACTAAGAATAATAAACATGTTTTCTCATCCTGTTACGTGTCTTTCCTTTCTTGAGTTTTGTGTCGTCACTACCCTGCCAGGAAAGCATTTCCGACCATGCATTGTGATTTCCCATCGTCTAGGTGTACTCTATCTCTCCTGAAAGTTTGTAACTGGTACACCCTGTATATTTTTAAAAAATTCTTTATTAAGATATTTAGTCCATGGCCAATTCACCAATTCGTTAAACTGTTGATATGATAATTTTCCAAAATCTTTGATTCATATTCATTTATAATCCTTTGCTTTATCACAAAATTCATTCTCATAAATTCAGTTGTAGTTATAAATATTTCTATAGTTTTTTAAATTAATTTATGCTTATAATATTTAATTTCTCATTTTGGACTACTTTCTAATGAAGTTTAATTAAGATAGAGTTAGAAAGCTTAATAAATAGAATTTAACAATTTGGAGGGCTTATCACACTAAGTCTAATTACTTGTATTGTATGATTATTTTGACATACAGTATTGCATATAACTTACAGGTCTTGTGTGCAATATCATATGTATAATTTTAATGTCATTACAAATAAATTATAAAAAAGAAATAAAAGGACTGATTTTTTATATATTTTTGAATTACTTTTTATTATTCTAAAATTAGCTTTAACATATTTTTGTTAATAAATATATCTTACAGTGTCAGATGAAAGGTTAACAATGCTGAAAGCTTTTGCTACATCTATACAAAATCAAATAGATCTTGAGACTGAAAGAATAAAAGGTTTTTTATTTCAAAAATCCATAATGCAAACTTCTAATCCAGCTATATCTGAAATACATCAAGATGTAGGGAAGAGTGGTCAACAGTTTGTGGCAGGGTCTTCAAAGAAGAAATCTGAAGAAAATTATAAAATATTACCTGGTAAATAGATTTTTTTTAACTGCTTTTGTTTATTTAATAAATACAGGGTCTTCCAAAAAGAATGCTACCATTTTATATTACTGTAATTATGTTAATTACTATCTGAGAAGTATGCAATATACACCAGTTGATAGAGTAACTGTCTGAGTTTCATCTCCATCTGCAAATGTCTTGTTGTCTACTACCTCTAGGAAGTGTTGTAAACAAAAGTGATGACTGGCATTTTCTGTTCTGAAGTTTGCAAAGTCGGAATCACTTGTCATTGTATGACATGAGTAATCTGCAGGAGCTGTAGAATTGTGGCTGCTGTGGAAAGAGTGACAATGGATATACTGTAGCAAATGTAGGAAGAATTTGAGTATCAGTTGGATGTGTGCCATGTAACGTGAGGTTCATGCATTGAGAAATTGTAATGGACAAATGTGAAACTTTAACAGTTTTCCAATGTTTCAATGTACATTACAATGTTCTCGGATAATAATTAACATAATTACAATAATTTAAAATGGTAGCACCCTTTTTGGAAGACTCTGTATTTATATTAATTTCTTTAATTATATAGCTGATGCTTTGTTAAAAATTCAAAATATTTATGAACATTTTGATATATTCTCTATTATCAGGTGTTCAAAATGTTCACAGCCATGTTTTAGAAGTAATAGAAAAAAAGAAAACCGTAGCAGCTATCAAGATACAATCTGTTTATAGAGGATATGTGGCACGAAAAGCTTATAAGGAAATGAAAAATATTTCAAATAATTTAGTAAGTGTTATTAGAAAAAAATTTATAATTTTTAGTTGTTTAGCAATATACAAACTTTAATCCAAAATTTTTTGTTTCTAGAACAAGGTAAATGAAAGTCTCAGTGAAGGACCATTAGAATCTGAGGAGGATATTAAATCACCTCAAAGTGTAAGAAAATTATCCAAAATTAAAAAATTATTACAAATGACTACAGCTAAGTATCTCAGCTAGCAGATGTGTTTTTCCAGTGACATATTTGTTATTGGCAAAATACATTACTAAATAATAATAAATAAATAAATAAATACAAGGTGTCTGAAAAGTGATTATGCAGTGAGAAATTTATATGACATTAAAGTGATACATACAGTATTGCATATAACTTACAGGTCTTGTGTGCAATATCATATGTATAATTTTAATGTCATTACAAATTTCTCACTGCACAGTAACTTTAACTTTTCAGACATACTATATTTGTTATTTGTTTAAAATTTCAATAATAATTCTTACTAAATAATAATTAGAATTTATTTCCATACACTTTTTATTGTAATAAAAATTAAGTTTAATTCAACCAAATAAGTTCTTTTCTATATTTACACAATAAACTTTTCTGGATGTTTTATTGAAGATTCATAAAAATAAGTTGTACTGTTAATTTGTTGGCATTAATTAAAAACTGAACATATTGAAAGATATCATTGATTTTTGTAATTTTTCTGATAAATTTGGAAAATACATTGTCAGTTTTCTTCTAATACTGTTTTTTTTTTGTATACATATATTTATTTTTTATATTAATTGCTTTTATTAAAACTATTTCAAAATTGGTTAATCAATTTTCAGTTTAAAGTTTTTACAAAAAGCAAAATATTTAAAGTAGGAAACTTTATGATTATTTTGTATATGATACAGTAGTTTTATTTAAAATTTTCATCATAGATATTATTCACATTGTATTATTCTTCATTTTGAAATGTAAAATACAATAAAATGAAATATGAGAATAATACATTAACTATTATAAGTACAGTAGAACCTCGATTATCCGGACTAATTGGGGATGAAGGTAGTCCGGATAACGAAAAATCCAGATAATCGAAACAAATACTTTAATTTGTTTTTTAATGATAATGCAACACGTTTTCTTTTCGATGACATATCGGTAATATTAAATGTAAATACTGTATTTAAATCGTAATCAAATTTTCAAGAAACAAACGTTCGTATTGAATTTGGACTACTACTGACCAACGCTAACAGACTACCTATTGTTTAAAAGGCCCTCTGGTGGCGCAAGAAGACGGATTTTATAAAATAAGATGCAGTTGAAACTGCATTTTTATGAATAAAAATTTGACAAACTATTTATCATTTTATGACAAGTAAAACTTTTTCGTTGCGTTCGTGGCTTTTAAGTAATGCATAATCCTTCAAGGCGCGAGGCCCTTCGGACCGCGAGGTATAGGCGGTGGCCCACGTCGTCCATGCCTTACGCCGCCCTTGGTCATAGAAATGACGTAATTTGAATATAAATTATTTATAAATACGTATGTCAAGTTATATTTTTATTACTACATAAAATATATTTAAGAGTTTACAACCACTGTGCTGGGTGAGACGTTGTTGAAACAAAAAAGTTATCCATTCATCACGTACATAAACAGTGTCGTAATTCGCCAAGTGCAAATCAACAAATTCGTAAAATTTTTGTTTATTTTTAATCCGGATAATTGAAAATCCGGATAATGGAGGTCCGGATAATGGAGGTTCTACTGTATTTTATTGTGTTATGCTTTATTTGTAACACTCACTTTCATACTGGTTATGTATATTTGTATGTCTTTGTTTTTTACCTTTTTACTTAATGTTTGTTTTGTTGTACTTGTTCATTATATATTTTAAATGGGTTGCAAGTTCTTTATTGGAGACAGTAAACTTATGCATTTGCATTACATTTGTAGTAATAATAAAGAATAATACTTTTTATATGTAAATTAAAATATTTTGAGTATGGCTTGTATTTGAGAGATTATTATAGAAAATAATCCAAATTTTGAACTAAAAATTATTATTATTCCTAGATAAAATTATCATAAGTAATATTGTCACTTGATAGGGAAATTAAGTCATTTATATAGCAGTGTAACTTAAGTAATTTGAAACATTACTAGAAAAATCTGGTTTCAATTTTAATTTGGATCATATTCAATTTTTGTTTTTATAGTAAATAAATTTTCTTTAGTATTGTGAGTTTAAAATAAATAGTAAAATGATCAAGTAACAATGACAAAAAGTATTATTTATTTAAACTTGAAATATGTAATGTATTTTCATTAGTAAGCTATTGACAATTACTATGTTGCAATATACAGCTGTTGCTTGAAATCAAACTTCTAAATATTATCATCAAATGAAGCAAGTTAAGCTAAGATGTTAATCAAGTTAAATGACAGATATATAAACTTGAGTAATTTGTGCAGACAACTAATGTGATAGTTGTGAGGAACAATGTTAAAGATAAATTAATTTTTTTTTATCATTATTTAGTGCATTTATCATCTTTCAGATCTTGAATAAAACAGATACTGAAGAAGAAGAAAAAGACTTAGAAGTTATTAATCAGTCAGAAATTAATCAATCCTTAGAAATTCAAACAGGTAAATTTTAAAAAAATTTATTATTTTGTCCAATGGTTTCCAACTATTTCAGATTTTGATAATGATAAAATCAAATTAAAATGATTTTAGAGTAAATTTTTTTGTTTCTTTTGTTTTCTGATTTTCCGTTTGGTTGTTGTTTGACTTATATTTTGAGAGGAATGAGAGGGGTCTAGAATGATAATTAAAGTTTCCATATGTAGAGTTTTCTGTAATTAATAAGTGGAATGATATCAAATTTTGTACATATACTATATAAGGGATGGAGGAAGATTTTGCAAAGAAAATTGTTTTAAAAAATCTGTCAATAATGGAAAATATGGCATTGGATAACACAAAATATATAAAAGAATAAAAAATAAATAACTAGGTCAAATCTAAAATGAGAGTTTTTATTTTTGTCCTTTTTTTAAGTTTTTCTCAACTTTTATAAACTGCCATGGGAAAAGGTTTCACAAATCCAAACACATTCATTATTTATTGTTTGACAATGCTGCTGACATTAAAGTTGTATTGACTGCAGGCAGAATGCTATAGTTCTGGAGAAATGTTCCATACATGTTGCATTATGATGTCTTTTTAAACAACCAGGTTAAAGTGTCATACATCATGCCCCCTTTTGATNGCCCATAGATTGAATTTCAGAGTTCTGTCTTTGTCACATCAACTTTACTGGTGACAAAAAATATTTGCAAAAATGCATGTTTAATGGTTATATGATTGTTTAAATTTTGACCACAGATAAAACACTTTCTGACTTATGCACAGCTCTTACATTCTGCTCAATCAAATCTATTAATACAGCAGACTTGTGATCATCTGGCTGAAGATTATGTAGCCCAATCAGCCATGTCATAAAGTTTTTATGACATGGCGCATTATATTACCACAACATGGCGCATTATATTACCACGATGCATTTTTTTTTTTTTTTTGCTTATTTTTGTGATTATAGATGTGACTGGCTTATTTTTTGCTGAAAATTTTGTGTTGAAACATTATAACATATACTGTAAAAATAATAGCTGAAATATAAAGCTATTATTATAATTAAGAAAATTAATTATAATTGCATAGCTTTTGAAAACTATATATGTAGAAGACAAATAATTTCATAACCAATATATAGTTTTCAGATTTATTTTTATGCAGTCAATACATTAAATTGAATATAACCTTAATATAAAAAAGTATGTGTAAGTATCTATTTAAATCAAAATTTGTATGCAATGAGTGATCATTATATTAAGGTCATTAAATGTAATTAAGAAACTGCTTAGATTTTCAAGACAGACAGGTTTAATTGTGATTTCTGATGGTATATAAATATGAATTCTTGAATAGGTATGTATTATATATCATTCATGAAAACAAATACATAATTTTTTTTCATTTTAAAATTAATTGCAATTTATGTATTTATTATTTAATTTTATAATAATTTCAGAAGCGCACTCACAACATTCCGATAATGTTGAATCTTTCCATTATTCTTCTGATTTTATATCAATTAAGGAAGATGTATCTACTCATTCTGATCTTCCTTCTGTTTTAAGTATTAACAGTTCAAAGAAAATTGAATTAAATTCTAAAAGTGATCAAAGTACATTAAAAAATTCTATTTCTGAGTCATTTTTAATGGAAAATAAAGAAAATATGAGTGATGCAAATGTTGATGAGATAATTTCGGTTCAGAGTGAAAATTCTAAAACTGATAGTAATGAAAGCAAACCTTGTTCTGAAATACTTTCTGAAATAATTTCACATAAAGAAACTACTGAACATGAATTAAATAGTAATATTTCAACATCTTTTTCTGAAGGACCTTTATCATCCATTCATGAATCTGAAATAAATTATTCAGAATATTTGGAGAAAAATGATAAAGAGGACAGTTATTCTGATAGCGAAAAGTCATCAGCAGTTGATTCGTACAATAAATCAGATAATATTGAACAAGTATTTTCAAATATTCTTGACACAGTTACTGGAAAAACTTCAGAGAAAATTAGTTCTAACGTTATTGAAAATAAATCAGTCAAAACAGAGACAGTACAGACTGCATCAAATTTTAGTAATTATTCGTATGAGTCATCATTATCTGGAAGTGAGAAAGAAGTTAAAGATTCAGTAAGTGATGAAGAAGAAAATTCTAACACAATAAAAAGAAGTATAGAAGAGAAATCGACTAGTATATCTGATTATTCTCTCTCGAATGGATCAGAAATTTCTAATCCTTCAATATCAAGGTATTTAGATATGATTATTTTAAAATATATTTTTATAGAAATGAATAAATAGTGTAAGTAGATTATTTTTTATATTNACACAAAATATATAAAAGAATAAAAAATAAATAACTAGGTCAAATCTAAAATGAGAGTTTTTATTTTTGTCCTTTTTTTAAGTTTTTCTCAACTTTTATAAACTGCCATGGGAAAAGGTTTCACAAATCCAAACACATTCATTATTTATTGTTTGACAATGCTGCTGACATTAAAGTTGTATTGACTGCAGGCAGAATGCTATAGTTCTGGAGAAATGTTCCATACATGTTGCATTATGATGTCTTTTTAAACAACCAGGTTAAAGTGTCATACATCACGCCCCCTTTTGATTAAAAATTATCATCATAAATTATCTTTATCAATATCTGATTGGGATTAAAATCTACAAATTTTGGGAAATTGTGCTATCTTCAAAGAACTCCCACAGCATTACCATTGTCTTCCTGGCAGTGCAGCATGTAGCACTGTTCTGCTGAAACCAGCTGGCATACAAAACTACATTATGTTGCCTCCCATTTGCAAGTAATAATTTTTCAAAGTTTGAGTTGGAGGATTTTACAGATACTTTGTGTATATATGTAATAAAGATAGGTTTTTTTGGCATGTGTGGAGATTTGCCTGTTATCTATTGATTGCATCAGACCTGAGCAGATGGCCTATGTAAATCTCTACCATCTAATCTATTTTAAAGGTTAATGTCGTGTGGATTAAATGGAAAATGACAACACTCAAGTATATTGCATTATTTATTAAAATGTTGTTATTAATTAATAATTATTATATATTATTATTAATATTTTCTTATAAANTAGAAGATGAATTTTTCCCAAACAAAAAATTATTATTAAATGCTTTTACAAAAACATATAATTGTGTATGTTAAATGTATTGTAGTAGACTAAAAGAACAATAAATTTTATACTAAAATTTAATTAATCTACATTACCTGTAAAATATGTGCAAAGTTAAAAACATCTTTTTGATGACTTATTAATTCATTAAGCTGTCTATAATCATTTAAATATAAAAGAGAATTATTTAAAGTTTCCAGACATGATAGTTCTGCTGATATGCATGTCCCAACAACTTCAGGAATTTCTGTTTCAATTACCTAAATTTAAAAACAATTATTCAATTTTCATTGATAAAAAATGAAATCAACTGAATTGTTTAGCTTCATTTTAAGGTTTAATAAAATAAAAATAAAAAAATAATTACTTATAAGATTAAATTTATTCAGATAAAGTTGGTGTATAAGTTATAAAAATTTGTTTCTAATGTTCATAAAAATGAATTTTGAGTTTATTTTATATTTTTAAAACCTGCATGACAAAATTATAATATATAACTACTAAACTGTCATTTGTTAGATTTATATTTTAATAAATAACAATAATGTAATATTGAATATTTTTATTGAAATTTCATTGAAGTCTTTTGCATTATTATTTATTTATAAAAAAAAATCATAAATGATAATTCATAAAAATTAAAAGAAAAATATAATGTAAAGCCTGAATCAACAAGTAAAGAAAATTTAAAGAACACATATTGCTGAAGAAGAAAATAAACTCAAAATGTCTCTCTAAAAACTGAAAATTTAATTCCAGTTTTAGAAATTATCCGTGTTTGACCACTGTAAGGCTGCAAGAAACACATCTATATAAAACAGAATAATAGGAACAAGAAAATTTGTTTTTCTTTTTTACAATTACTATAGTAATGTCTGCAATTAATTATCAATTATTATTATTTCCTGAAGAAAATTCTCTAAGAACACAGATTAAAATAAAATATATATAAATGCATATTTTTCTTGTATATTTATTTTAGATATTTATGAAAAACAAACTCAACTGAATTTTATTCAATCAAAATCTTTACATAAAATTAACTTTGTTTACTATTATGTAATTTTCTGTGTTTAATGATTACAAGATAACTTATTAAGAAACAAAATACATAAAATATGACTTTCTCAATATACGAACTTCAGTAGTAAAGAAATTTACACACATTTATAGGTATGGATCACTGCAAAAACTTTTATTAATTTTCCAATTTTCCTTGAATTAAGTTATACACTGCTAATATTTTAAACTAGGATTTAATAAGTTTTTCCAGAAAGTATATTACTTTACTAAACTTTATTTTATTCTGGAAAAATTTCTTCTAAGGAAATTAAAAAACAAGTATTTTAATCTCACTTAAACCAGTCTCTTAACATTTAAGTTATCACTTTCTACGTATAGTCAATTGTACTTTTGTTTTATATATGTGTTCGTAACCTAATTAACAATAAATATTTCAATTATATATATATATATAATTGAAATATTTATTGTTAATTAGGTTACGAACACATATATAAAACAAAAGTACAATTGACTATACGTAGAAAGTGATAACTTAAATGTTAAGAGACTGGTTTAAGTGAGATTAAAATACTTGTTTTTTAATTTCCTTAGAAGAAATTTTTCCAGAATAAAATAAAGTTTAGTAAAGTAATATACTTTCTGGAAAAACTTATTAAATCCTAGTTTAAAATATTAGCAGTGTATAACTTAATTCAAGGAAAATTGGAAAATTAATAAAAGTTTTTGCAGTGATCCATACCTATAAATGTGTGTAAATTTCTTTACTACTGAAGTTCGTATATTGAGAAAGTCATATTTTATGTATTTTGTTTCTTAATAAGTTATCTTGTAATCATTAAACACAGAAAATTACATAATAGTAAACAAAGTTAATTTTATGTAAAGATTTTGATTGAATAAAATTCAGTTGAGTTTGTTTTTCATAAATATCTAAAATAAATATACAAGAAAAATATGCATTTATATATATTTTATTTTAATCTGTGTTCTTAGTCAGAGAATTTTCTTCAGGAAATAATAATAATTGATAATTAATTGCAGACATTACTATAGTAATTGTAAAAAAGAAAAACAAATTTTCTTGTTCCTATTATTCTGTTTTATATAGATGTGTTTCTTGCAGCCTTACAGTGGTCAAACACGGATAATTTCTAAAACTGGAATTAAATTTTCAGTTTTTAGAGAGACATTTTGAGTTTATTTTCTTCTTCAGCAATATGTGTTCTTTAAATTTTCTTTACTTGTTGATTCAGGCTTTACATTATATTTTTCTTTTAATTTTTATGAATTATCATTTATGATTTTTTTTTATAAATAAATAATAATGCAAAAGACTTCAATGAAATTTCAATAAAAATATTCAATATTACATTATTGTTATTTATTAAAATATAAATCTAACAAATGACAGTTTAGTAGTTATATATTATAATTTTGTCATGCAGGTTTTAAAAATATAAAATAAACTCAAAATTCATTTTTATGAACATTAGAAACAAATTTTTATAACTTATACACCAACTTTATCTGAATAAATTTAATCTTATAAGTAATTATTTTTTTATTTTTATTTTATTAAACCTTAAAATGAAGCTAAACAATTCAGTTGATTTCATTTTTTATCAATGAAAATTGAATAATTGTTTTTAAATTTAGGTAATTGAAACAGAAATTCCTGAAGTTGTTGGGACATGCATATCAGCAGAACTATCATGTCTGGAAACTTTAAATAATTCTCTTTTATATTTAAATGATTATAGACAGCTTAATGAATTAATAAGTCATCAAAAAGATGTTTTTAACTTTGCACATATTTTACAGGTAATGTAGATTAATTAAATTTTAGTATAAAATTTATTGTTCTTTTAGTCTACTACAATACATTTAACATACACAATTATATGTTTTTGTAAAAGCATTTAATAATAATTTTTTGTTTGGGAAAAATTCATCTTCTAATCACAAACTAGTTCTGTAATTAATCTTTGTGTGGTAAATATCAGATAATTTTTCTTTGTGTATTGGTACAAAGTTTTGATCATATGATGATTGAATTTAATAATTTTCATACTATATTACATGTTAAAAATTGTAGCGTTTTTCAATTTATAATTATATAAATTATATATATTGTATATAACAAATACTATTATATATATATATACATACACACACCCAGTCAATTCTGCTTAATTGGGACATGTTGGGACTAATCCATTTTGGACCAATTAAGTGGTTGCCCCAATTAAACAAACTAATAATAAATTCTAAAATAAAAATTATATAATATGTAGGTAAATAAATAAGTAGGTAAAAAATAATAATTAGGTACCTATTTTAATGCTTTATTAAACCAAAATACAGAAAATATTTGTACTATAAATTTTCCAGACTCACGATAGATAACTGATTTGCATCATGTAGTGTTGCCAAATACAGTATTAGTAGTGAAGTATACAAGAGTTGACCATTTGATTTGTTCCTGATCAAACGAAAGGGTTCACACAGTTCCTTTACCTGGAGATGGGCCACTTCGGCAGGAGCATCTGTAGAATCCGCCAGCTCCAGATGCTGGTCTCAACAATTGGATGACTGCTGTCTGAATCTAGACATAATCATGCACACAATACCTTCCAAGGAAACTCTAGCTGTCTTCCAAAAATTTGAAAAATTGTCCAGGGATCTTTGTCCCTTTACTTTTAAGGGACAAAGATCCCTTGGTCCATTCCAGAGCAGGGTCAGTAGCTCACATTCAGGTCTGCCTCAGACAGGATCCCAGTGTGATATGTTCCACTATGCTGATCCCCTCCGGAAAAACCGAGCCACCTGAGCAAAAGACAAAATTGCTTTGTCTCTGCCAACGGTTAGGCCTACATGACATTAGTTGACATATTTTCAGAAGATCCCTAAAATATATCAAAAATTGCTAAATTCCTTTTCTGCTACTGCTCCAATTAAGCGATTAAATTATGTATTAATTTATTAGTTTGGTTTCCATTCTTTGAGATTTAGGCAATAAAGTGGCTGTCTCAATTAACTGTTGGCCTAATTAAACAGAATTGACTGTATGTATATATATATATATATAATAATAATAATATAAAGCAAATATAATGATGGCAGAGATAATATTTTGGATTGTAATAATCCATGTTCATCTGCTAGAAACAGCTGTCGCTATGAAGCATACTATTTTTTGCTTCACGTCAATAAATATAATAGAGATTTTTATCATAATTCAACAAAATTACTCCTTTTAAGTTTATGTTATTACTTAATTCTTTGATGAGTTGGTTTACTGGTGGCTCACTCTCCTCTCAGAGTGAGTTAGTTTTTAAGAAATGTAACATTTATGAAAAAATTTATATATCGTCTTCTAATTCTTATTTTGTAATAAACTAGGCAATATGTTCTATCAATTTGAATATATTGAAAAACTCCAATTATTCGAAAGGACAGAATGAATGTGAATGCCTACTAGATGTCATGTTTGTCTTTATTCTTGAATATTCTATGCTAAATCTCATGAAACTTACAAAAGTCACATGGAAAATTTTTTCTTGACTTGTCAACAGATGTCCATATCTGTTTGTAACATTTTGCATTTGCCCATAAATATGTAAGTGCACTATAATGAGACAAACTTTAAGAACATATATACAGTATACTGTGCTTATCTGTACAGCACACCACATGTTTCACATATATTTATGGAAGTACTCATCAAAGAATTAAAATTATTAGTAATATAAAGTGAAGGTTTCATATACCACTTTATATTTTATGAACACATAATCGTTCTTAATGAATGTGATAAGGGAATAAGATGATAATGTAAATTAATATGATAAAATTTTATTCAAATTTAAAATCAGTGTAATATTTAAATTTTTCTTTATGGAGAAGCAGTTTAAAAAATTTCAAGAGTTTTATTAAAATAACACAGTTCAATCTGCAGTGCCTTACACTAGTTACATCAGATTGATATAGTGTATTGACTACTCAAGAACTTGCAGATACCAGTTCAGTTTCTCATATTATGTATTATAAATTTCAAAGAATGAAATGCTTAAATTAAATATATATATAATTTAAACTTTTAAAAATCTTTTAATTATCTTGTTAAGAATGACTTTAAACATGTTATTAGATTAATATAAAATACAATATGTCTCTCTTAATAAAAGTAAATATTTTTATTATTTTTGTAATTTTTTATTTTGAAAAATCCATGAAGATTTACATTATTTTGATTTTTCCAACTTATAATTAAATAAGACCTCATTTAAATTGTAAATTTGTTTTTAGCTTCAAGGGGATAAGCAACAAGAACAACAGCAAAGAATGTTTCAAGCACTTTTGCATCAACAGGAAAATCAAACACGGCTTTTAGAAGAGAGTCGAGCTGAACAGAGACAATTGATTCAAAATACTATTGCAGAAGCACATGCAGCAATTTCTGAGAAAACTCTGAAAATAGTTGAAGCTCAAGCACAAGCAGTGAAATCTTCAGCCGATGCATTACTACAGTTAACAGAAGTGAGAATTTATTACTTTTTAGAAATTTGATGTAGCCATAAAGATGTTAGATGATATATAAATCTTCCTATGCCAAAGGATTAAAAAATGGGCATTGTTGAATTCCAGCTTTCTGACTTACGATTATTTAACTATTTTTATGTAAATGTATGTCAATAAATATTTAGAAAAATAGAAATAAACAACAAATATGATCAATATTTATATCATTTAAATTAAAATCTTAGCAAAATATATTACTTAAGATGAATATAATTTTTACTTTTCCAGCTCTGTTATGTATATATATAACAGAGGAAAAGTATGACAAACAGTCAAAAAAATCGCTCCTTAACACTTTTACATTTTTTGGACTCAAGCCTTCAAATGTCAAGCAATGCAAAAAAATTTAAGGGTTTTTTTTTGTATTTATGGGTGTGTATGGGGACACGATTTTGTTCATTCACTTTTAAGCTTAATAATTCTCATGGTCTTTGTCAAAAATTTCTGAATGTTTACAGGGTGGTTTGTATATTAAGTGGATTAATTCTATTAAGTATTGATGGACTTTTGTATTAATTAAAACTTTTCAGTTTTAATTAATACAAAAATTACAATATGGAATTTTTAAAAATCTAAAACCCAGAATTTTCATTTATATTCAAAAATTAAAATAAATATAAGAATTAATGAAAACAAATAGCAATATTTTGAATGAGAAAGTAGAAAAATTTTATATTTAAAAGTCTCATTATTGTGGCAGGAATAATTGTTTGTGGTATTTAACACTGGTTTATTAGGTAAATAAAAATTAACAACATATAATATTCTATGAAGAAATTTATCATGAAAATATTTGTTTTAGAAAAATGAGATGAAGTACAGTGGGTAATCAGTTAATGAACAGTTTGGACTGTGAACAAATCAGATAACAAATGTTTTTGCAAAAGATTTTTATGTTCGGATAATGAACACTTCACAGAACAAACAGAAAAGGAAGCAATGTAAAATAGAGAATATCGATTGGTGTTCCTTTGTCTCCAGGGGACAATTCGAAACCTTTCAGAGCTCTGAAGACGTCAACATCAATGCTCAACTCGATACCAATCAGATAGTATTCCTCCAAATTTTGAAACTTTCTTTTGTAATTCCAGCTTTTTATATAATTTTCTGATAAATAATTTTTTATAGTCTTTGTGAGACTGTCGGATGGGCACTTGTTAAGTTTTGCATCAGGATTTATTTACGAAAGGTGAAAGTTTAACTATCCCATCAAATATTCATTAACATTTTAATACCAAATTTCAAATTTCATCCAGGCCTTGCATTTAAATAATTTTTTGTGGGTTAGTTGATTTCTGTTCTCTGAATTTGTGTAAGTGCTTTTCTGAACTTTTCATTTAAAAAAGAAACTGATAATATGGAGCCTAAAAAGAGGAGTGTCAAGAACTGTAACCAAGTAAGAGATAATAGCCAAGGTAGAAAGTGGGCACAAGTCTGATGTTGCTAGGCAGTATGGCTTGAACAGGTCTACAGTAGGCACAATCTTAGCTATGAAAGATATATCAAGAAGTCTTAAGCTGCTAATGGCGTAATGAAAATCACATCTGAGAAATAAAGAGCATTGAAGAGCTCATAATGGATCATGAAATTGATATAACGACAGAATTCCAAGAACTCTCAAATGAAGAACACCAAGAAACTCAGCGAGATGGGTTTTTCTTTTGAAAAAAGAGGAAGATGAAAGAGGATCAATGCTGACATCTGTTATTAAAGATCTTTTGAAGAAGTGGAAGGATGTCAGAACAACAGTCATCCAAATGGCATCCAGACCAGAATGAGGTTAATAGGCTTGGGGATCTGTACAATTACAATGCTATTTAATTACTTTAGAAAAATCCTGAAGAAGAGAGAAAAGCAATTGACATTGGACAGATTCTTTAACTCCCACAAACAGAAAAAACATGACTAATTCAGGATGCAAGACAGTGTATATATGTGTTTTTATTATTACATATAAATAAACATAGTAAGAAAGTATATATTTTTTATTTTTTGGAGTTTCCAGAACAAATTAATCAAATTCCCATGAAAACCTGTGGTAAATCTATAATTGGTTAATGAACAATTTGGATAGCGAACAAACTCTTGGAACAGATTATGTTCATTAACCATATAGATCACCCTCTGTATTCAAAATTTCTCAACATGTTACTGGTCATTTTTTCACTTTTATTTATTTTTCTTATAGTTAACTTTTGGTTTGAATGCAAAATAATTTAATATGTTAATATGATATTTATAAATACATTTTGTAATTTGAAAAAAAATTTTTTTTAATTATATTTTTATTTTATAGAATCATCATGCAGCAAAAAAAGAATTTTCTTCAGAATATAGCAATGATTTTGAACAAGTAGAAACAAGTAACCATTATCAGTCTTCAGGAAAAAGCAGCGAAATTTCTTCTCAGTCTAATTCGCAATCATCTAATAGTTCAATTTCTGAAGATTTGACAGTTTTACCAGAAAAACAAAATGATACTTTTTCAGGAAATTCAAATATTGAAAGCCAGTCAAGAAGTAAAAACAATGAATTAAGTAAATATACATTGTCTCAGTTATCAAAAAACACTATAGAAGAATCAGTTCCAGAAAGTTTGGAACAAGGATCTATAACTGATGAGCAGAGTAAGTAAGAAATTATTTCACATGATATTTAAGTATGAATTATAGTTGTATTATTCAAATCACTTTTTGTTGACTTGTGCAAATGCACTTTTCCTGTAGTCGGGCTTATCACACTGGACATCACAGAACAGAAAGAAACCAATACACTTTTTTTCTTTCGTATGTATTTATTGCAAAATACATTTCGGACCTATTAGGTCCCTCGTCAGTCACTATACATAGATTTCAATATTTGAAACAAAATATGAGTTTGTGCTATATCCTGGTGTCACACTATGGTAATTTACAAATGTGCAGTACATCACATTTTCACATCTGCTTTAACATTGTCTTTGGGTGTGTTTCTGTAACTTCTTCCCTCTTTGGATGTCCAATAAAACTTGGCTCTCCTTAAACCTTTATCACTTTATGAAAGATAGATACCATAATTAGAAATGAAACATGAAAGATACTTTGAAATAAATATAATAAAATGCATAAACTATATAAATTTTAATGAAATATACAGACATTACTGAAACTCAACCCTCCCCTCTGCTTTGTCTGAGTTTTGTCTGGCTTGTCTTAACTCCTCTCTTCCCTTCGAATGTGGACATCATTTATGGACAGCCCCTTACTATTGTACTATGGTTCTTGTTGAATGAATGAATAACTTCAGAAAAGTTTGTTTCTTGGTACGGTAAGCTTAATTCCAATAATAAAACAGAAGTTAAATAACATTAATATGTATGACAATAAATGGTGATTGACAACTTAACCAGATAAGTCTTCTCTAACAGATAATGAATGTTATTTGGCTTTTTACAACCTGCTCTCCTCCTTTATTCCTATTTTCAGCCAGTCTTTATTTAATGCTTACAGTCAAAATTCTTCCTCTGAAGGAATATTTGAACTGATTCTTTCTTTTCATTTTAAAATATTTTGTACATAATTAATTAATTTCAGAATATTGAAGGTGGGACTTTGTGCAGGACTAAGGTAGGTTTATAGATTATGGTACCAATTATTTAGACTGTCCACTTTTTAGAGGTGAATATAATAGATGTCCTATTTGAATGGTCTGGGGATTGTAAAAATGCCTGTTAAGTATAGACGTATGCTATTCAGGAGTGTCTGTTAATGAAGGTTTCACTGTAGTTTATAAGTTGGAGTGCAGTTGCACTGTATCTCATAATTATATAGGAAAAACCAAGAGGGAAAAACCAAACAAGATTCGTGGAGCACATCCGTGCAATAAAATATAATGACACTTAATTCGCAGTTGCTAAACACTGCAAAATGCATGTGAAATAATAAAAGAAAATACTAAAATCTAGAAACATGAAGAAAATATGTCTAAAAGAAAACTATTTGAACATTTAGAAATTATAAAAATTAAAAAACAATAAACAAATAAATGAAAACACAGGCCTACAGCTACATGAATCTTGGGAAGATTTCCTAACAGATGGGGCAGGGGGAAAAAATAAACAAACCAATGCATACTTGTATGCTGGAGGAAAATACATCCAAAGGCAATGTTAACCCTCCGTAAGTCGCTAGGAATGGGGCCCTTACTTGAGTCGCATGGGTCTTACAGACCCAGTGTTTTTAATATGAAATAATTTAATTTTATCTATCGCGTAAAGAAACTACAGTTTCTTAGTTGGATTCTGCGCTTTGTTTTCTATCTAGTGATATAAATTACTTGCGTATTGACAAANGGAAAGAAAAAAAGTGTATTGGGTTCTTTCTGTTCTGTGATGTCCAGTATGATAAGCCCGACTACAGGAAAAGTGCATTTGCACAAAACATAATAAATATATTATAGTCTTCAATTTTATAAGATATTAGATTACTAATATTAATTTTTTAAAAATAAACATAGAGAATTCATGTTTATTTTTTAAGTTAATTTGTCTATTTAGACTTATTCATATGGTAGTCATATGGTATTTGAGACTAAACACACATAATAATGTTTAGTCTCAAATAAACTTAATATGACTAATGCCTAATTTTGGAATTACTTTTGGAACTACTAATTCTGACTAAAGCTTAATTTGACTAATCCTAAGAATTAATTATATTTTTTCAAATTAATTTTGTTTTAAATTTACAGAAGCTTCAATTTCAAATCCAGTTCACAGTTCTCATGAAGATCATAATTTGACTAACAAATCAGTCCAAGTACCATCTATTTCTTCTCACAATCAGATATGCAAATCTGTTTCTACTGTTTCTGATATGGTTTGTAAACCTATTATTATTATTAATAAACATTATATTAAATTATTGAGTTCACAAAAAATTTTCTTTAACTTGTGTTTTTGCTTAACTTGTTGCAGTTTATGTTCTTGTATCCATTTGTTGACAGGAACACATGTGCTAAAGTTCAAATGCACATATACAGCTAATTTCATCAGATTTGTGCTGTTAATATAATTATAAGCTATAAAAATGATTATTATTTTCTTCATATAATTGTTTAGTTCTCTCTCTGTAAGAAATTTCTTCCTGTATTTTTGCAGTTTAAGTGAAATTCAGAAAATATTCTAAAAATTAATATTAATAGTATTTCTGATTAAATGTTTGCATGAATAACTAATATAAAACCCATTATTGTTAAGCTGTTTGTTATAGCAATAATTTATAACTTGGAACAAGGTAAATATATAATTTTCTATAAGACAATGTTATAAAATGATCATTGTAGGTAAGATTTGAATCAGATAGACAATAATCAAAAACTTACTTCTCATCAGCCTCTAAGGATACAAAAGTTTTATTGTATTTTATTCTAAATACATTAAAGAAATTACATATGTTGATTGTAAAAGTGACTCAAAATTAATTTATCAATAAGAAAATTAAATATTTTTATTTATTATTAACAGTTTTTCATGAAAACAAACATTAGATTTATTAATTAAACTTCTACATACTGTATTTTCTGCTATTCACTTTGATCAGTTTAATTGAATTCATAGAAAGCATTTTTCAACATATAGCTATTGCACTGTCTCAAAATATAATATTTAAGATCTTTAATATCTCTTGGTTTTATAGTATTCATTTACATAAAAATAAAATTATATTTATTGCTGCTACATTTGTCTAAATTGCCTCATCTCCATTATAAAAGACATTAAAATCCACTTTGGGACAGTTTGTATATGCAAAATTCAAGTGGGCTTTCAATAATCCTAATATTTCTAATTTTTGGTTTTATTAACTAATTTTAATGAAACAATTAATGAAGAATGAAAATTTTAAGTAAAAAGATAATTTAGTCTAGAATGTTGGTTATATAATTATTGATGTTGTCGAAACCGTGTTGTATTTGTTTATTGTGTACTGGCACAATGAAGTGACGTTTTTCTCAACACTGGGCTAGTTGAATCTTTTATTTAGTTAGAACGTTTTTTCCATACATCAACGTTTCGGCCATCAGCCCCTCTTCAGCTAACTCACTTCAGCATGGACACTGCACATACAGTAGAAATCAGACTACACTTAGGTTTTTTAAAATTTTCNCAATTCTGCTTAATTGGGACATGTTGGGACTAATCCATTTTGGACCAATTAAGTGGTTGCCCCAATTAAACAAACTAATAATAAATTCTAAAATAAAAATTATATAATATGTAGGTAAATAAATAAGTAGGTAAAAAATAATAATTAGGTACCTATTTTAATGCTTTATTAAACCAAAATACAGAAAATATTTGTACTATAAATTTTCCAGACTCACGATAGATAACTGATTTGCATCATGTAGTGTTGCCAAATACAGTATTAGTAGTGAAGTATACAAGAGTTGACCATTTGATTTGTTCCTGATCAAACGAAAGGGTTCACACAGTTCCTTTACCTGGAGATGGGCCACTTCGGCAGGAGCATCTGTAGAATCCGCCAGCTCCAGATGCTGGTCTCAACAATTGGATGACTGCTGTCTGAATCTAGACATAATCATGCACACAATACCTTCCAAGGAAACTCTAGCTGTCTTCCAAAAATTTGAAAAATTGTCCAGGGATCTTTGTCCCTTTACTTTTAAGGGACAAAGATCCCTTGGTCCATTCCAGAGCAGGGTCAGTAGCTCACATTCAGGTCTGCCTCAGACAGGATCCCAGTGTGATATGTTCCACTATGCTGATCCCCTCCGGAAAAACCGAGCCACCTGAGCAAAAGACAAAATTGCTTTGTCTCTGCCAACGGTTAGGCCTACATGACATTAGTTGACATATTTTCAGAAGATCCCTAAAATATATCAAAAATTGCTAAATTCCTTTTCTGCTACTGCTCCAATTAAGCGATTAAATTATGTATTAATTTATTAGTTTGGTTTCCATTCTTTGAGATTTAGGCAATAAAGTGGCTGTCTCAATTAACTGTTGGCCTAATTAAACAGAATTGACTGTATGTATATATATATATATATATATATATATATACAGATGAAATTGCTAATTATGAAAAAGAAAGCTTCAAAGTATTTTAATACAGTTTGATGTTAAAGGATTATTTTTTGAGTAAACAGTTTGAGGAGTAGAAATAGGTAGAGAATACTTTGTGAGATAGCAAACAAAATTTTATTCACACATTTAGCATTACATTAATTATTTTTTTATTTCTCTAAGATAGTCTGTTTTTATAATGGATATATGCCAATGTATTAATTTATAGGTTGCTTGGATTGAGACTGACACATTTTGAAAGACTAAGTAAAATTAGGTAAGAACTACAATAAAAGTAAGATATGCAACTTGAAAACAAACTCACCAAGTTTTATTACAAAAATCAGTACATTTGTACTTATTATTGCCTTACTGTCCTTTAGTTTCTTAATACATATTTTTTGTCAACTTGGACATTAATTATTAATAGGACAATTACACTGGTTTTTAAGTTTTTATGCAAGAATTGAGGAAAAAGTTCTTAAAGAAAACAGACTTTCTTTATTGAGCTACCTGTACACATCAATTCTTGCGTAAAAACTTAAAAACCAGTATAATTGTCCTATTAATAATTAATGTCCAAGTTGATGAAAAATATATATTAAGTACATTTGTACCTTTACTAATACTAACACAAATGTATAAAATTCCACATCTGCTCCTAATGTTGCATGGAGAATATCTAAATGATATTCAATTTCCTGCCATTTGTTCTGCAACATCTGTGGTATAATAGAAGTTACAGTATTCTATATGCATACATGAAGTTCATCAAGATAGTTGATTTTGTCTTTGTTGATAAACTCCAGAGGAAGAAGTCTAGAAGCATAATGTCAGGAGATTGTGGTGGCCATGGAGCACAACAACTAATTATTCCACATACCTCAATTAATTCTAGGAAAAACTTACTCAATTGCTCTTCTTCATGCAATGTGTTAAATGTGTTTATCTTTATGCACCAAATTTTGGCAGCAATTTTAAAATGTGTCAAGTCTTATTCTGGACCCTTTGTATACATTGTCAATATATAATGTAGCATAATTGTTTGTGAAAACAAAAGATACTAGAAAAAACAAACTTCAACTTCAAATGAATCACCAAATAAACATAGATTTTATGGAACAATATATCAGTCGCTGAGATATTCTGAAAGTGTTGAGTGATGTGCATTGCAAGACTCCCAATTATTTATGGTAAAATGCATGTGTCATGTCAATGATATTAATTTTATTACATTATAGCACAACAAATGGAACTATAATATAGTTTATTACTGATTTGTCAATAACATACATAAGAATAAGTGATAAAAAAAAAACTATTCTATAAACATATCTCAGAATAGTATTATAATTATGGATGTTGTGTTTTATTATTTGAAAAACTTAAATAAATTTTTTATCAAACATCAATACAAAGATGATAATCAGGATCATTTTTGTGATATGTTAAAAGCATTATTATTTAATTTAATATAATGTAAATTGCAAGCATATTTCAGAAAGAATATAAATAAATAATAAATAGAAATTGACAAAATTGTGCATAAACTGTTAAACTATCCTTACCATTTATAATTTAAACCAACTGAACATATCCAAAATAAAACTGAAAAATTATGTTGCAGTAAGTAATAACATTTTTAAGCTAGAAGAAGCAAATTAGTTTCAATAAGTGAACTACTAAAAATTTTCTTATTATTTAAATAGCAGCACAATGAAAAGCTAAATAGCTCACTGGAAGATTCTAATAATTCTTATTCATCAGAAATGTAAAATATTTATTACATTTATTATTTAAATGTAAATCATTTAACATAATTTGGTATAATTGTATTACATAATATGTAATAATTTTTAATTATTGAAGTTATTTCTTTATTATATATATATACCCACACAATTTTCTTGCTGTAATTATTCTGCTCTTCTAAAATAAATTACATCTTACATTGAAAATTTTAATTAAAATTTAAATATTTATAAGATTCAATAATTAATATAAAGTAAATATATCACTTTGTGTTCTTATTCATTTTTTTCAGGAAACTTCGACAAAAGGGTGCCTTAGAAAAGGTTCCCTCTGTTCGTAAAAGACAGAGAGCTCTTTTGTTGCAGTTACATCAAGAAAGAGCGCAACTTCGATGGTTGCAAGAAATTCATCGCAATTCACTTCGAAAAATTTCTCGAAAAGAACAAAGAAAATTGCATACTAAAGGTAAATAAATATTTATGATAATTTTTTATTATATAAAACATGAATACTCTTTGTATTTATATATACCTAAATAATTTATTATCTATAATGATTCAATTTACTTAATGTAATTCTTAAGCAGAAATTTATTGTATCAAATGTTGCAATAGGCAGATAAAAGTCATTTCCAAATGAAAAATGCTATTTTTTTTTAATATTAATAAACATAACTTTATATAAGGAGGAAACCTGATAAAACAAAATTTTGATCAGTATATTCCATTTTATATAAGTTTTACTGAATTCAAATTTCTGAATTGATCTCCTCAGCTGAAAACTTAAAGAAATGTGTGCATGATTTCATTGTGCCATTAAATACACTTAGAATGAAATCATACATTTTATATTTCAAAAATTTTTATGAAGTAATCTAATATTTATGCTTAATTGAACTTATATTTTAAAGCTGGAATCAAATTGTATAATATATGATTTTATCAAACTTTTATTTTTCCAGAATTTATTTATAAAATACTTCTTTCACAAACAAGTGATACCTTGATTTATGANATTATAATATATTATTCTCTGTAATAATATCAAATTGATTCAGCTGAAAACTTAAAGAAATGTGTGCATGATTTCATTGTGCCATTAAATACACTTAGAATGAAATCATACATTTTATATTTCAAAAATTTTTATGAAGTAATCTAATATTTATGCTTAATTGAACTTATATTTTAAAGCTGGAATCAAATTGTATAATATATGATTTTATCAAACTTTTATTTTTCCAGAATTTATTTATAAAATACTTCTTTCACAAACAAGTGATACCTTGATTTATGAGACTTTTATTCTAAACATTTCTCATAAAAAGTAATGTGCAAAATTTTGAAGTCTTTGAATATCTAATTTCCAAAAACTATTTAAATCTTTAATCTTGCATCTCAACTGAGCTGAAATATTAGTTTAATATAAAAAGTAAAAGAAACTTTTGTGACTTTTAGTGTAGTGAAGGTTTTCAACTGGTCATCTGTTCCATTATTTGCCAACTCATTGTCATCACCTTGTTTGGCCTCATGCTTCCCTGTCTACTTTTCCTGTATCGACCAATAACAATTGAAATTAATAGTGATTGCCTCCCTCTATCTTACCTCTTGCTCTTCCTTTTTTTTTTTTTTATTGCTTTGCAATATTATTTGAAAAAGTATAATAATAAAATTGAAAGTACTTGCGATTTAGCAAATTTTGCTTTATTTTATATATTTTTCTAATGTTGATCGTTTAAAACTTTATTGTATAAGCAAGAAAATTTGGAAAATGAATGAATGCAATGAAATCTCTTTAATGAGTATTTATATTCAGCATAAGGTTTGTAGTTAATTTTTTATTTTAATTTAAAATATCAGCAAATATTACATGTATACAATGTTCCCTCTAAGCTGCACGGCTGCGCACTGCTCAAATTGTTGCCGCGCACAAGAATTTATGTATGAGCATGCACACCGATTTGAATTGTTGTTTACTTATTTCTCACTCTGTCTGCAACATGATTATNACGATGCTTGCCAAAATTAGCCCAAAGCAATTCCTTCCTTGACTTGTGCAATGTGGGAGCTGCTCCATCTTGCATTAGACAGTGGTCTGTAAACATTGCCTGCAAGTCGTTCCTGCCTTAAAGTTCTTGTAAGTTGAGTGTTTTTATAAATATTTATTTTGAAAGTAGTAATAGTAAGAAAGCTGCAAAAAATAAAAAGTATAGATTTTTGTTTTTCATTGGTTATTCATTGACAAAAACGTATTTTAATACATGTACATTTGAAACCCCAAGTATCTGAGGTAATGTGGATGACAGTATCTAATCCACATTACCTCAGATAACTGAAAACTCAGATAATACGGATAGCCACAACCATTTCAGATTAAAAAATTTTCAATGTAAAATATTTGTTTTTATGCCATAGTGAATTTAATCATATACATTCAAATCTCAAGTTATTAATGCCCCTATTTACGAACAAAATTTTGAATGCCATATCTGCTTTAGTTGCTGTACGATAACTTGGTTTCCAAACAAGCTACTCAGCCACTGATGGTCAACTTCCCATATGTCCTATGTTAAAGAATTGATTGATTTGGTTTGGATATGTACAATAGTTTTAAGAATAAAAGCATTTATATGAATGGTTTGTTTCACATTGAAGTTAAATGTTAAAAGGTAACAGAAACAAATAATGTTATAATACATGTTATCATTTTAAACTTTCTTTTATGAATTACATAATAAGGAAAGTAGTTTATTCACTTGCAGATTTGTTTCAGATAATCAGGCTTCTGTATTTTTGCTGATCCTATACATTTTTCTTTAGTTGCCTTGATTTTGTTAAATTTTGTCAGTTAGTGTTATATCCTATATTAGTGCTATGATTTTCAGAAGTAACTGGATCATATTATCATTCTTGTCTATTTCTGGAACATTTTCTTTCTTTTAGAATTTAGAGTTTATTAGTGTTTAATATTTTTTTGGTTCTTATCTATAAGAAGAAACTTATAACAAATATACTAAAATGTAACCTGAATTCTTGAAACGTCTTGTGATGCTAACATTGAATATCTTGTAGAAAATTTGTCTTCCTATTTCAAATAAATAATTTTGAATTATACTTAAAGTTCTCAATATTGGTTTGTTTCCGAAGCCTGTCAAATCACCAGATATATTTTCTATTGAGTGCACATTTCCATATGTTTGATTGAATGTGATCTATATGATTGATTGATATGATTGAAAGACAATTGATGTCCTCTTCTAACCCAACACTTAGTCCTCAGTTGCCAGCCCAGATTAAGCAGGCCTGGACTAAAATNCAGGTTATTTGTTTAATGGTAAATAACATTGAGTGTTTTTATAAATATTTATTTTGAAAGTAGTAATAATAAGAAAGCTGCAAAAAATAAAAATTATAGATTTTTGTTTCTCATTGGTTATTCATTGACAAAAGCATATTTTAATACATGCATATTTGAAACCCCAAGTATCCAAGGTAATGTGGATGACAGTATCTTAGATAACTGAAAACTGAGATAATATGGATAGCCACAACCATTTCAGATTAAAAAATTTTCAATGTAAAATATTTGTTTTTATGAATTTAATTCTCAATATCAGTTTGTTTCCGAAGCCTGTCAAATCACCAGATATATTTTCTATTGAGTGCACATTTCCATATGTTTGATTGAATGTGATCTATATGATTGATTGATATGATTGAAAGACAATTGATGTCCTCTTCTAACCCAACACTTAGTCCTCAGTTGCCAGCCCAGANTAATATCCAAAGGTTTTTTAATGATGATGACATTACAATTTTATTTACTTAATTTATTGTTACAAATTCATTTCAGAATGGTATATAATTTTTTTCCCTCTTCAGTGCTAATCCTAAACAAAATCAGTACTTTACATATTATCATACACTATTCTGAATGTCTAATAAATAATTGTATTGCTACTTACAGTTTAAAAAATTCAGACAATTTTTTGAATACAAATATATTAAGACCACTGTTGTTTATCAACTTCTAAAATATATCCAGGCTAATATCTACATAACTCTTTTATTTACAATCCATAGCACTAGACCAAGTGTAATAAAGGGGGGACGCACACATACTAGTACATGAGATTACCATACAAAAGAAGAGGTCATCTCTACTTGAACAGAGGAGTTATATAGCTCATATAACACCATCTGGCGATGGCAATATTTGAATCCCAACAACCACATAACATAAAAAATTGTCATAGTCATTGAAAACTTTTAAATGTTAGAAGTGATGGAATTGAAATTCTCAAACTTACTTGTAAGGATTACAGAGAAAAAAAAGAATTACAGCATTCCTTCTCTACATAAAGTTATATTATTTTTTTAATAATTAGTATGACAGATTGTTCATGTATCAATCAATCAAAAACAGAAAAAAATTGATTATTGTGTGTAAAAGAATCTACTGTATTTTATAACATATAAGACACAACTTTTGTCTAAAAACAGGACTTAAAAAATTATCCCACATCTTATATGTGAAGTTACAATCTTCCATAGGCTAATGAATTCCCAATCAGCTTTCAGTAGGCTACAGGTAACCTCTGCCCAACCCAATAGAAATGCTATTATTTAATTAAGCATATAATAATAATTATTGGTTATAACTAAGCTTCTTTTGCTGTATTTGTGTAGAATATTTTACTGATAAATTTTAATTGTAAATGACTTCTTTTAAAATTAAACTACTTTTTTTCCACTGATTAATAAATCAAGAAAACCAGAATACAGTAAAAAAAAATTTGGGACCAAAAGTATGCCAAAAAGGGATGGCTTAAATAGATTTACTTTTTTCCTAAATATTTTGTGCCAGAATGGGAGAGCATCTTGTGTACCATAAAATATGGCATTTCAATTGCACTAGTTTTATTTGCATTTTGAAAGGAAGTTTAAATACTGATTGAATTATCATCATCTTCCAAAAGATGATAAATCAATCCTTCTGACATTAAAAATACTTTTTTTAACAAGTTGCTGTTTCCACTTTCAATAAAATCCATATGATTTAATATTAAATTGTCTATATAAATGTCATATGCATGAAATGTAAGTAATACAGTTTTACTTTGGCTTTTGAAATTTTCTCTAGAAAATGTTCTTACTAAAGACAGATTTAAAATGTTTGATATCAATTATTGTTATAATATATTATTCTCTGTAATAATATCAAATTGATGTTATATATATTTTTAATGAACTAATATCAATACATAATTCTGATATTTTCTTTTGTAAATGAAAACAAAGCTTATTTTTTAATATTTGTTAGCTGAGGCCAGATGGCTGAGCTGTTAAGGTGGCAGCCTACCATTCTAGGGGCCCAAGATTGAATCTGGATAGATTGATGAATTCCAATATATCCAAATAATATATTGGAGTTTTTCATGGGCCAAATAAAAAAAAAAAAACAAGTTTTTGGGAGATGGTTTATTTGGATATATTGAGCCCCGTCCCTCTCCATCTGGCCTCCCCATAATTGCGAAAAAGACCCTCTTAGTGCTCATGGGGTGGAGAGAGTTATATTATTCGGGGAATTAAATTGTCACACCTTTAAAAAATATACTTGTGGAACTGTACACTAATGACTATTGTCACCTTCAAAGTACTCACCTTGAGTATCTATACATTGACTTATATGATGTTTCCATTTCTGGAAGCAGACCTGGAACTCATTTTCCAGAATACTGTTGAGCAGCCATCTCACATTCTGTTGGATATCAGTTATATAAGAAAATATTTGTCCTTTCAGAGCAGATTTTAATTTTGGAAATAGGCAGAAATCACAGGAAGCTAAGTCAGATGAATAGGCAGGATAATCTAATAGGTTAATTGGTTTTTTGGTCAGAAAATGTCTCACAGTCAGGGCACTGTGACTTGATGCATTGTCATGATGAATGTCATGATGAATCCACTTGTTGGGCCAGAGTTCAGATCTTTTTCTTCAAACAGAATTTCTTCAGTACTTCTAAATAGTGTTGTTGGTTGACCATTTGTCCCTGTTCAATAAATTCATGGACTATTCCCTTCTGATTGAAGAAACACACCAGCATGGTCTTAAACTGTGAGTGTGACATGTGTGCCTTTTTCAGAGTTTTATAACATCTTCACCATATGCCATTTGCAACAGTTGTTGTTATGTTTCAGTAGTGCATTTGCTGATTTTCACCCAATTTAATATTAATATATTGCTGTAAATTTCGGTCACCCATTTTTATGCCAGAGTACACTGAAATAGCTATTACCTTCCTAGTAGCTAATTAAAAAATAGCTCTATTAGCTTGAAATTTATGCACTTGTTAGTTAAATATGTTTGAATACAAATGTTTATGTCACTTCAGTATAATTTGTCACGGATGACATTATGTAGTTATTCTGGAAATTAAATTGTCACACCTTGTATATATATCGTATTTCCACAAATTGTCAGGCATGTTGGTCTACCCAGGAAAGACCATAAAATCAGATATTTCCCTATGGTAAAAAACCAGCATGCCTGTTTATACGAGGTTATATATACATCTCTCTCTAGAGGGTGTGTAAAAAAATGAAATGAGTTATGTCACATGGCATCTCAGAGATGTCACTTTTTATTCTAAAATTATGAAACAGTTAGCATCACATCAAAAATTATAATTATATGTTTAATTTCTGCATTTTGTCTTCTTTCTAGCAATGGAAAATACCTGTAGAATGCTGAAAGTGCTTTATTTATGTTTATTTTATTGTAATTTGATCCAAAAACACAAAAATAAATATATAAAATTTCAGAAACTCACTACAAATTATCTCAACTTACACTATTAAGACATCTGCTTTGTGTGAAATTTGAGAGGATGGTGTTACCTTTTAAGGTCAGGGTAGTACCAGTAAAACTTTATTGCTTTCATAGCAGATCGTCAGTGCAACCCACCTGACTTACTACTACGATTATCATCAATAAGTTGCTAACTGTTTTATTATCCCATAAATGAAAACTGTCTTCCTGGTTGTCAGTCCATCAAATTACAATGTTATTATTTTATTGTACTGGGAAGAATGCTTTCTTTAACATTTATTTAACAACTAGTTTTGTTAGATCTGATTAATTTTATTTTTTAGTCAGAGTTTAACTGGCATGCCAGTAACCCTAGGGTTTCCACTCTCTCCTCTTGGCATGCCACTAAATCTACATACAGTATTTCTTGAATGTCAGAAAACATGTCACAAGCCTATTGGAACTAGCTTCAAGACTGGTCCATGATAAATATGACTGTGAATTCACACAAAACTAACTTTGGTGAGTGCAATGTCCATCTACTGGCAAACATGACAGTTTTCCATAGTTGAAATGTGACAGTTACTGGTGTTTACTGTACCAGTGAAGTAAAAATGTGCTTTGCACTTCACAAATGCTTTTATATATCATGACTAGGCAACTTTTTGGTTTTAAAAATCCAGAGATAACAAAATAATTTTTATTATGATGGTGTTATCCTGTCATTTTTTTCTGTATTCACCCATAGTTAACTGTTAGATGTTTTTTGTAAGTTATA